CAACCAACCAACCAACTAACCAACCAACCAACCAACCAATGTCTAGGTATTGATGATGGATACCTCCTCTACCAATGTCAAGATAGTCCGACATCGTGAAGAGTCTAAACACTCGATCTGTGAAGCTGTTATTCTCAACGAGCTAAACACATGGAAACAGGTGAAACAAATTTATCAGTAGAATGGAGGCCTCGCTGAACTATCCACCCCTGGTTCAGGCCTGAATCACTAATTCAAATCCTCATGAATCTTTAACTTTGAATTGGTGTTGCAGGATTTGAACTGACCGAAGTTAGTTTAGCAACCTAGCTCAAATTCATTAAATTCGGTCCCTGGATCCCAATATGTTCATATTGTGTCTGGTGGATTACCATTAGCAGGGCAGAACAAGCTGAACATTATGGGTTCCATGTTTCTAGTGGATCTTTAGTTCTTGAGTGTCCGATTCAAACCCTTTGGTTTGAGAAAAAATTATTCTGAAATATGCGGCATAGACATGGAAGAAAATTGAGAAAGGTTTTATCTCTTCAAGACAGAAAAACGACATATCTTCCATAACCACGGCTCCATATAATTCTATCTGATCAATCCCAAATGTTGATTGATTGATATTAGGGGCAGAAATAAACCATGTTGTTATTGTAAACAAACAAGTTGCAGAACAAATTCCGTACTGTCGAATGTTTACTGCAAGGGAGTGTTTACTTTTTCTGTATATCATAATTTAGCTCTCATATTGATTATTGATATTTACATCTTTTAACACCCCAAATGCAGTACACATTTCTGAAGTGTAGTACACCTACACAAAAACTTGTCAAAGTTCACAAGAAAATATAAAGTGTACTTTCATGCCCCTAAATGTACTTTCAACCCCGATCCCATTTGGGATCAGAAATGGAATTATATGGACACCCTGCAATCCTATTAAGTGCTAAAGGGTACCGTTATGAATTGGGAATGTAGCCCTTTAAATGTCGGGTCACCTGAAATTATGTTGACAATCCCTTTAAATTCAAATTTCTTCTAATACAATAAAATTGTTCTGATTTCCATAATTTAAATGGTTTTCACTGTTGATGTGCTAGTGCTACAGTGATAACCAGGAAACTCTGGAATAGGAAGACGACTTTAAGACTCAAGTTATGACTTTAAACTTGTGAAACACCAATCCCTTTAAAGGGAGTGCCGGCAATGTAAGGGAGTTGAACTGAAAATGTAGCATTGTGGACAAAATTTTTAGAATTCATTTGAGACATATATGCAAAGTCGACGTTCAAAATCATGAATTTGGGTCGGTGCATTTTAAGAATCGTTTTTTTATATTCTTTAATAACGACGACAAAAAATGTTAACAATATTTTACAGTAAACTAATTAGTTTTTAGGACCTGTTCCTAAACAACTAATTAGTTAACTGTAGAATTTTGAGGAAGTAAAAATGTACTCTTTAATATCGAAAGTAAGTAATCTTTCTTAATTATCAGTTTCTATAACCTCTCATCATTCACAAAGATTTTCTGGAACTTTTATTGAAAAAACGACATTTGAAGAATTTGTAGAAATTCATTGAAAATAAGAAACTCAAAATAATGATGAAAACGAAATAATTCATTCTAACATTGATTTATTTTATTGACAAATTTCTTTTCAGAAATATGTTCCTAAACATCTAATTAGTTTACTATTTTTTGTCGTCGTTATTTAATAATTTATAAAAACCGATTCTGACAACGTACCCACCCAAATTCATTATTTTGAACGTCGACTTTGAACTTAAACTCAGAAATTATACATCGTGAAAACGTTTTATATGTCTCAAATGAATCCTAAAAAAATGTTCCTACAATACTGCATACTCAGTTCGCCCACAATACTTTGCCAGTCACTCCCTTTAAATTAAAATTATCCAAAAATGAAAATGTTTTAACTATGGCTTTATGCATATCAAACGAAAGCTAAAAACCCCTCGAATACAGTTGCAGCAACGAATCCAGTGTTCGACGTTCTACTGACCTCTAACGACCTCTAATGACCTAAGTGACGTCCAAAAATGAAAATGTTTTAACTATGGTTTTATACATATCAAGCGAAAGCTAGGAACCCAGGGAATACAGTAGTAGCAACAAATACAGTGTTTGACCTTATAATGACCTCTTACGACCTCGAATGACCTAAATGACCTCCAAAAATGAAAATGTTTTAACTATTTTTTTGTGCATATCAAACGAAAGCTAGGAATCCAGGGAATACAGTAGTAGCAACAAATGCAGTGTTTGACCTTCTAATTACAGGTTTTTTAGCCTATAACACCCCCCGGCCACCCATGAGTGTCCTCAATATTATTATATCGATTTATTAGTTTTAACAAGTAACCATCCAACTATGACAATTTTGTAAACGATTCAGCGTATTTTTATATATTTTTTGATAAATTTATTAAAAGATAAAATTTAACTTATCAAAGGGACATTCATAGCGCTGACCCCTATTTCACCGAATGCAGGATAGTCTTATAATAATAATAATAAAAATACTAATAATATCCAATATTATTTACACATTTATAATTTGTTTACAAGTAGTTTATCAACTATAATTTTAAGTAAAATGCAAATAAAAACGCTAAAGCAATGTAAAAGCACAATATTTTACATATTTTTGGAAAAAACAATGTTAATTTCTACATTTATTAAATCATTTGGTCACCGGAAATATTCAACTATAGTTTTTCATGGCATAAACATTGACATTGAATGTTAATAATAATAGTATTAATATTAAATTACAGTTTTTTAGAGATATATTTTTGATTGATTGGTTATTTTCTATTCTATTTGAAAATTTAGTTTGGGATAGTACTCAGCTTCAGCGATTAAACAGTCTGAACGGAGCTGAAAACTTTAGAATGGTGAATATAGAGATCATTACTTAATCTCCTCTTTTTCTTAATCTCCAGATTAAATAATGCTTGTTCTCCTCTTGTTATTAATCTTCAGATCAATTAACCGATCGGGATTAAGGATATCCCATTCTAAAGTTTTTAGCTCAGGAGATCCAATGGACACATTTTTAAACGGGGGGGTAAACTCCTTATATCAGGGAAATTTGTACATTTCTGACTATTCAGGTAACCGTCAATGGGAAAAGTCACAAGTAGAGGACACACAAGTTTTGCCCTCTGATCAATTATTTATCACATTTTTATTTATTTTTAGGAAAGAGACGCATCTGTGATGTCACTGTCTGTTCAAATATTTACAGGGACAAGACAGAATATCTTCTTAAGCTTAAAGGGACTTTTAAACGTAATTTCAAGTGACCCTACAAGTGCCCCATTTACAACGGTACCCTTGAAACCTTAATCAGATCAAAAATGTGGAAGAAACTGTCGTTTTTCTGACTCAAAGAGTGTTTATTTTTGTGAGTTTCTTTGCGGCTTATAAACAAGGAAACTGAAAATGAAAATAAACAGCTTAAAGAAACAAAAACATGGATATCTAATTCATACTTGATTAGAAAAAGCTTTTAAGGGTACCGTTGTAAATCGGGCAGTGCAATCCTTGCATGCGGGGTCACTAGAAGTTACGGTCACAGGGCCTTTAATCACACATATTTTCAGTGAAATTTCAGCTCTATTTTATCAAATCAGATGTGCCTGATCTACAAATATTATCAACTTGTCAACTAGCTTAAACCCAGTATCGACTCTATAATCGGCTTTATACTTATCTTTTAGTCTCTGTGTCATGAAAATTCACTTGAAAGTTAAATTATTCCGTGAGTGATTGATTGATTGGTTGATTGACCAATTGTACCCTGTAAGTCCATCCCTATCTCTCGCTTCTCCTGATAAGAGCACTGTGATGCTGTTTCCAATCTACTTCACACCATGATTGATTGATTGATTGATTGATTGATTGATTGATTGATTGACTTATTGTCTTGTACCCTGTAGTACCGTCCCTCTCTCTACACTTGATAGAGCACTGTGATGCTGTTTCCAACCTACTCCAGGCATTTATTGACATGCTTAAGGACTCTAGGGACGAAGGTAGGAATTCTGTATTATAAAACTGATGGATGAATTAATAGATTGCAGATCTTAGGATAAATGATAACTTTTATTTTGGGTTAAGTAGAAGTGTTGGCAAACTGTTCGATTGATAAATTAATAGATTGACTGAAAATTTAAAAAGATTATTTGATTTTCTGGTTGATAGAAGTTTGAAGCTAAACCTAGAGAATATTAATTGGTCGGATGATTGATTGATCGAGTGCTTTGTTGAGTGATCGATTGATTGATTGATTGATGAATATTAAGAAGATGTATTAACACTGACAAGTTGGCTGGACGAGGAGAAAAATGAATTTTCGAGGATATTAATCTCTCTCAACGATCTAACAGTAAGTTTCTAGGATATTGATCTCTCTCAACGATCTAACAGTAAGTTTCTAGGATATTAATCTCTCAACGATCTAAGAGTAAGTTTCTAGGATATTAATCTCTCAACGATCTAACAGTAAGTTTCTAGGATATTCTTCTCTCTCAACGATCTAACAGTAAGTCTCTTGGTTATTAATCTCTCTCAACGATCTAACAATAAGTTTCTAGGATATTAATCTCCCTCAATGATCTAACAGTAAGTTTCTAGGATATTAATCTCTCTCAACGATCTAACAGTAAGTTTCTAGGATATTAATCTCTCAATGATCTAAGAGTAAGTTTCTAGGATATTAATCTCTCTCAACGATCTAACAGTAAGTTTCTAGGATATTCTTCTTTCTCAATGATCTAACAGTAAGTTTCTAGGATATTAATCTCTCTCAATGATCTAACAGTAAGTTTCTAGGATATTCTTCTCTCTCAATGATCTAACAGTAAGTTTCTAGGATATTAATCTCTCTCAATGATCTAACAGTAAGTTGCTAGGATATTCTTCTCTCTCAATGATCTTACAGTAAGTTTCTAGGATATTAATCTCTCTCAACGATCTAACAGTAAGTTTCTAGGATATTAATCTCTCTCAACGATCTAACAGTAAGTTTCTAGGATATTAATCTCTCTCAACGATCTAACAGTAAGTTTCGAGGATATACATAATATTTAATTTTGTATTTCCATTGGTAGTATACAATGTTGTACAATGTACTCGGTACAATGTACATGCAAACAATCTGTACATAGGATCTAATATTGTAGTGTCTAATATTGTACAATGTAAATGTAAACTCTAACAATGTGTACATAGAATCTAATACTATAGTATCTTCTGGGAGTTGTACCTACTGAGCAGCAGTGGACTCCTGGACTAAGAACTAGTTTCATGCATGGAGTTGAGAAAATACTCATGGTTCTTTCTATGATAATACTGTAATTTTCTTGTTTTACTAAGTACAACCGTATGCAGTCAAAACATAAACAAACAAAATGTAAACATAGCAGACGAAACTCTTACAGATTACAGCTTTCTCAGTATGTATCACAATACTAAATCAAAGAATTATTTGAAAAGATGATATCGAATTCGTCACTGAATTCCCATGTTTTTTTGGGACACCCTGTAGCTTAGAAACCCAGCTTTGCCTTGAAACTAAACTCTCTATCAACTTAGACATTTTAAACCAAGTTAAGAACATTTCCCTGGTACTGACGAGTTCCTAGGTCAAAATTTGACAGTCAAGGGGTTCCTATATAAGTTATGATCGAACATACAAACAAGCAAACAGAGATTACTACTTTAAATACATAAACTTGTTTTCCACCGATATTGGTTAAGGCCAATTGGTGAGATTGTCCATTTTTTCTTCTTCAGAAGAATTATCTCTGTTTGTATGTTTGGATGTCCGATCATAACTAATGAACACCTGAGCCGATTTACCTCAAAATTTGATGGGGGAACCACAGAAATATACTTGGTCTGATTTAAACATTCTTAGTTGAGTAGGTTGACCGTTGTAAGGAAATCTCCAGGCAAAGATGGGTTCCCAAGCTAGTGTTATATAAGCATGTGGCTCTCCTAGCGCGCACAATCCAAGTATCCAAGTAATATATTGTCTCCAATCCTATCCTCGACTTCTACGTGATGATTGTTGACTTGTTACTGGTCAATTCATATGAATCTTTACGAGGGAGGTAAAAAGGAATAACTGTTAGGAACAAGCTGAGCCGTAACGGGGGGGGAAGCTATGAGGGCCGCCTCCCCTCAGGACAAATTCTTGCATATACCCCCCCCCCCCCNCGTACATTAGGAAATTATCTACCCCTAGTCTAGGGCCTATATACAATTATTCATTATAGAAGTATTTTTTCCAGAATTAAAACAAGGAAAATTTTAGTTGCTGAGTTTTATTTGAATTTATTTCTAGGTTCTGGGGCAAAGTTTGCAGATGACTTTGGATAAAATAGCAGAGCACACTCCCAAGTATCAGGCACAGTCCCATTAATTCTTGGTTATTGAAGGGATAATAAGCGTAATTTCAAGTGACCTTCCATTTCATTATCCGAGTCATAGAGATAATCTTATTTTACAATGAGTTATTTTTTTATAAGTTTTTTAATTTATTTTAAGTCAGGGAAATGGCCAAAATTTGTCGTCTTCTTTTTAGTTATTAAATAGAATCAATAATTACACTTTTAGAAATAAATGCATGACTTAAACAATTATTTTTATTTTCCTTTTCTGAGAAATTTCACGACAGTCAATTGTCTGATTCTCTCTCAGACCTAATGTTATCATTATTATTAGACGATGTCTAAGCACCTAGGGTTCCTGGGAATGCCCCAGATGTTCGAGGTCTTGGAGTTCGATGTTCTTCAAGAGAAAGTCTCCCTCCATGTTCCCCTTCACAGGAACCTTTATATTTTATGAATTAACTCTGGCCGGAGTGTTGCGTTTTTGTATAGCAATAGACAACTGATGGGCACTGATGAACATGACATTTGCACAGGCTGATCCAATTAAAGTGCAGAAAGGATAGCACTAGTAAGTAAGGAAATGTTAAGTAGGAGAATTTGAGAGAGAATTTTTTACGGAGCCAGTGAACACAGAGAACAAAAAAAAGAAAGGAAAGGATAGATGGAAGATTAAATACAAAAGAAAACAAAATCAATTCTTAAAAGGAAAAATTCCTTATTTCTTTCTTTTTACTTGATATAACTGACTGAGAAATGGACAAAAGAACATAACTCAATTATGTTTGATAATCAACGCTACATGCGATTAACTAAATCATATCATTAACCAAACCAAATAGTTAAGCCTAAGGAAAAATAGGAAGCAAGATCAGCCCGGGTAAAATAAGTGTTCAGTATGGTTTATAGGGTTACCCATGGTCAAGTTTTTAAGACAATAGCGCAACACAAAACGTTGGGGTATATGACTTTTAACTGATCTTAAGCAAAACAAAATAATAGAAAGACTTTGATAGAAAACTGGAAAGTAATTCTACTACTTTTTATAAAATTAATTTATTTTATAACTTTTGCGAACTTTTTAAAACAAAGTTAAGTTTCAAAATAGAGAAGCTTTAAAAAAACATTTTTGTCAGTTATTATAATTTCACTTAAAGGATAAATATGAATCTTGTTATTTCAGGGAAAGAAAAAACTAAAAGGAAATAGATTTTCCAATTTTTTCTTTAAAGGGACTGTAAAGGAAAAATGAAAAATTTTTCCTCTACTGTCCCTTTAAGCTTAAAAAATTCTCCAATTTTTTGAATTATTTTGTTCCTAACTCGTTTCTGATTCTCTGTTTATAATTTTAGTTCTAATTTCTGATTCCCATTTCTATATTTCTATATGATTATAGTATAATTAATATATTGGATAATGTAGGTTTTTGGTCAATCTTGTCGGAGAAACTGCAAAGTAAGAAAATTAAAATTTTCTCATCTTTTTCTTCTGGCAATTTTTGTTTTCTTTAAGTGCTGTGGCTGGCACAGACAATTAAAGGTTTCGCATGAAAAAATCTTATTTAGCATACGTGAAGTAAAGCAAAAATTACACTAGCAAATGTTGTAATGCCATTTTTTAAGATTTAAGGCTTAACAAAAATTCTTAACATGTCGAAAAATGATTTCATTTGTTTTTGTTCATATCTGCCATTTCTGAATTTTTTGAGAAAAAATCACGAAGCTGTCAAAATATGAAACTTCAAAATAAATTTTCTTTTATGGCTTTTGAATATTTGAATAAAACTTTTAGGTATGATTTGCATTCAACAATTCTTCGACGGATAGAGAACAGTCTTCCTCTTCTTAATCTAGTAGAACCTGTTCTTCAAGTTCTAGTCATCATATCACAGGTATAGAACAGTTCTTAATCTAGTAGAATATGTTCTTCAAGTTCTAGTCATCATATCACAGTTAGAGAACAGTTCTTAATCTAGGAGAACCAGCAGTAATCATATTACACGTAGAATCTAATAGTAATCATATTACACGTAGAATCTAATAGAACAGTTCTTAATCTAGTAGAATCTGTTTTAATTTGCAGGCTCTCTTTTTAAAGGTTTTGTAGGCGTTATTTGAAGTTACCTTCCAGTTAAAAAGTGGCGTGACCGATTCATGACTGTACCCTTGAAATCTTTGTCTGATGAAGCTAGAAAAAGCGCCGATATATTCCACATTATTGATCAGATGAAGGTTTAAGAGGTACCGTTGTGAATTAGACATGTCACTCAACAAATGGAGGTTCACTTGAATTTACGTTGACAGTCCCTTTAATGAAAACATGTAAAACTAGTGTAATATAGATAAATGCTGGTATGTGGAGACGGAATATGAAAACATGTAAAACTAGTGTAATATAGATAAATGCTGGTATGTGGAGACGGAATATGAAAACATGTAAAACTAGTGTAATATAGATAAATGCTGGTATGTGGAGACGGAATATGAAAACATGTAAAACTAGTGTAATATAGATAAATGCTGGTATGTGGAGACGGAATGGTAATCAGGCAGACTCTCAAGCCTTTATTTACAATAACAGAACCTTCTTCCCGGGTATTAGGTAAGCAGAAATTTTCGGACATTTTTTCCTTAATTATTTTCTTCTCATCTTTAGTTGGCTAGATTTGGTCTTAAAGGGACAGTAAGCGTAAAATTATATTATACTGACACAAAGAGTTTAATTCCAATAATTTCTCCATTTCACAGAGAAACCACAATTGAAATAAACAGTTAAGTAAATCGGGCATTGACATCTTTGCATGGAGGGTCACTTGAAATTTCGCTTACAGCCCCTTTAAGGAGAATTTTGAAGAAAACAAATGTAGTGAAACTATTATTCATGAGTGAAAAATATAATAAACGTTTAAAATTACTAAAAGGTCGGAATAAATATAATACCGAATATGTGTTGTTTAATTTTCGTTTAAGCTACTAAATTATCAATGAGTAAAAATAAAAACGTTCCAAAAAATTACTTCCGTGTCAAAATTAAGGTTTGGTCCTTTTTTATCCTTGTGCATCGAATGAAATAGCTCTAATCTTAAATGCCAGAGATTGATGTTCACAGTGGGAATTTATAATTTTTAAGGGTTTAATACTTAAAAAACAGCTGCCTTGTATCTCCGCGATATCTCAATGGTTTACAGCAGATTTTTTCTGGTTTCTGATTTTTTTAATCTTCGGGAAATATTTAAAAGGAATTGACTTAATCCTTATGAAGAGATTAACACTGCATAAGTACCACCCTCTGATTATATTTTAGGGAAGCTGATCTTCTTCTGCTGCAAGTTGGGGCTGCGCTTACACCTAATATTGATCAGTATCTGGTTAATATACTAGCTAGGTTAGTATCCAACTACAGGTTGAAGCTATCTATATCCTAATATTGATCAGTATTTTTTGTGGTTGTGGTTGTGGTTGTGGTTGTGGTTGGTGTCGGTGTTGTTGTTGTTGTTGGTTGTTGTTATTGTGGTTGTGGTTGTTGTTGTTGTTATTTTTCTTGTTGTTGTTGTAAACTGGGGATATGGATACAGAATCTGTTGTTTCTACTATCGTTGTTGTTTTTCTTGTTGTTGTTGTTGTTGTTTTTGTTGTTGTTGTTGTGTGTGTTGTTGTTGTGGTAGTTGAATTTATTGAATATCTAGGTTTAAGTTGACTAAATGGGTAACTGGGGATTTGGATACAGAAACTGTTATTTCTACTATTGTTGTTGTTTTTTCTTGTTGTTGTTGTTGTTGTTGTTGTTGTTGTTGAGGTAGTTGAATTTATTGAATATCTTGGTTTAAGTTGACTAAATGGGTAACTGGGGATATGGATACAGAATCTGTTGTTTCTACTATTTTTGTTGTTTTTCTTGTTGTTGTTGTTGTTATTTTTCTTGTTGTTGTTGTTGTTGTTGTTGTTGTTGTTGTTGTGGTAGTTGAATTTATTAAATATCTAGGTTTAAGTTGACTAAATGGGTAACTGGGGATATGGATACAGAATCTGTTGTACGAAGTGAGGAGTTTGTGGAGAAGTGCAACGCTTTAGGAATAAAACAATATATATTTTCTTTAAGCTTCAAAATGTTTTATTTTTTAAATTATACGATAATTGTGTTTATTCAGTAGTCATTATAAAAGTGGGTAGTTTACGCAATATTATAATTTTGCATTTTGAATCATTTTCTCTAGATAATTCTACAAAATATTTAGTAAACTTTGAAGAAAATAATTTGAAAGGATGCTAGATCTAAGATTGGTAGTTTATTTTGGTACAAGTGAGATAAATAAAACATAGGAACAAGAAGCCGACTTTCAGGCGTATTTGATGTTGGTATAAAGCAAATATATTTAATATATACTAGAACATTAAAAATGTACTGATTAAGTAAAAAAAGTCTGTGCAGTCGTCTTCCTATTCCACAGTTTTATGGGTCCTACAGTTTTTAAGCAACCCGGCCTATGCTATGGATAAAAGCCTTATAACCACTCTTGATTGCATTATAATCCAAAACTAATTGATACTATACCCCATTATAAAGTTTGATGATCACTCCCTTTAAATTAAATATGGTTTGTATAGCGGAGCATTGGTTGAATCTTGTAATAGCTATGGTTGGAGAGAGGTTTACTGATGGTGTAGGTATGATAACAATGAAAATAACATTATTGAAAATAAAAACAACAATCGAAATTTGAATGACAATCATGAAAATCATTAAAAATCATGAAAATTATAATTAAGACATTGAATAATGATAAGTATAGTATAATTCTGTTATTATTTCGATCATGATAGATAATAATAAAGATTTGATCAAGTGAAAATGATGATAATAATAACAATGATTATAATTATAATAATAATAATGATAATAATGATACTAGGGTCTGGTAGCCTAGTTAGTCCTAGACTAGAGTTAAGACGTGATATTCTTCATCTACTCTGTATTGAACCTTTACCTCACTCAGTTATTGTCAAGAGAATTCCATCAATCAAAGGAATGTCGTCTTACATTTGAAATCTTTAAGTTGACCTTAACCTTAGCTTTTACCCTTACTTTGACCTTGACATTAACTTCACTTTAAGAGAGTTCTTTTCTTCTTTTCTTCTTTTCTTCTTTTCTTCTTTTCTTCTTTTCTTCTTTTCTTCTTTTCTTCTTTTCTTCTTTTCTTCTTTTCTTCTTTTCTTCTTTTCTTCTTTTCTTCTTTTCTTCTTTTCTTCTTTTCTTCTTTTCTTCTTTTCTTCTTTTCTTCTTTTCTTCTTTTCTTCTTTTCTTCTTTTCTTCTTTTCTTCTTTTCTTCTTTTCTTCTTTTCTTCTTTTCTTCTTTTCTTCTTTTCTTCTTTTCTTCTTTTCTTCTTTTCTTCTTTTCTTCTTTTCTTCTTTTCTTCTTTTCTTCTTTTCTTCTTTTCTTCTTTTCTTCTTTTCTTCTTTTCTTCTTTTCTTCTTTTCTTCTTTTCTTCTTTTCTTCTTTTCTTCTTTTCTTCTTTTCTTCTTTTCTTCTTTTCTTCTTTTCTTCTTTTCTTCTTTTCTTCTTTTCTTCTTTTCTTCTTTTCTTCTTTTCTTCTTTTCTTCTTTTCTTCTTTTCTTCTTTTCTTCTTTTCTTCTTTTCTTCTTTTCTTCTTTTCTTCTATTCTTCTATTCTTCTATTCTTCTATTCTTCTATTCTTCTATTCTTCTATTCTTCTATTCTTCTATTCTTCTATTCTTCTATTCTTCTATTCTTCTATTCTTCTATTCTTCTTTTCTTCTTTTCTTCTTTTCTTCTTTTCTTCTTTTCTTCTTTTCTTTCTTTTCCTCTTTTCTTCTTTTCTTCTTTTCTTCTTTTCCTCTTTTCCTCTTTTCCTCTTTTCCTCGTTTCCTCTTTTCCTCTTTTCTTTTTTTCTTCTTTTCTTCTTTTCCTCTTTTCTTTTTTTCTTGATTTTTATCATGAGCTTTAATTTAACCTTCATCCTGACCCTAACGAGAGTGTTCGCGAGTAATGAAAGGGGATAAAAACGACTCAGAAAGTTGCAACATTCGACTCGGATCGTAAACAAATCATTCAGATATTGCAAACAATAGTCATCGATAATTTTTCGACGCATTTGTTACTGAGAGTTACTTTTGAAAACTTTTATTCCTGTTTCGAGGATTTTTGATAATGAAGACACCATTTTCATATTTTCCAGGAATGTTCGAAAATCCAGCGCCAGCGAAATATTATTTTTTTTTATCAAAAATATTTTGAAATATTAACTTTACACGAATGCGTCAAAAAATAATCGATGACTATTGTATATAATATCTAAATGATTTGTTTTGAATTAAATTGATTATTTTACGATCCGAGTTGAATGTGAGATCTTTCTGAATTTGTATGGACGTTACGTTCTTCGGTATGAGTCGTTTTTAACAATTATCTCCTTATAGACGCAACAGATAGAAGAAAGATTAGTAGCGATCAAAAGCAAGCCCATACCCCTTGCATTTTTCACAAACACTCCCTTTAACCATAACACGTAATTTAACTTTTACTTTGACCTTGACTTGTTCCTGGACTTTTAATTTAAGCTTGACCTTGACCTGGACTTTGACCTTAACCTGGTCCTTAATCTGGACCTGGACCTTTACCTGGACTTGGAGCTGGATCTGGAGCTGGACCTGGACCTTTAAACGTAACCTAGACCTTGACCTGGACATTGAACTTTAACCTTAATCTAGACCTGGACCTGGACCTGGACCTTGACCTTGACCTTGACCTTGACCTTGACCTTGAATTCCAAGTAAGACGCCTGAGCTGTGTAGATTCTGAGTGTGAGCTTGATGAGATATTGGATGAAATCTCTGAGTTAAAAAGTAGCACAAAGAATCCTGGGAAGAAGGTTTATTATCTTCGGAGGTATTTATTCATTCATTCATTCATTCATCCTATCATCCTTCCTTTCATCTATTCATTTATTCATCCATTTATTTTTTCATTCATTCATTCTTTCATTCATTCATCAATCCAATGTAGTGTATTGATCAATAAAATTTATTATTTAAACAGTCACCCATCCTCCATTCTTTTATACATTCTTGATCATTCATTCATTCATTCATTCATCCTTTCATTCATCCTTTCATTCACCTATTCATTCATTCATTCATTCATTCAGTTATTTATTTAAGTCACATGTATTTTAATTTGCTCAAGTGGGTTTAAAATCAATTACTGCTGTAGTATACTGTGAACTGAACTGTATTGTATTGTACACTATACTTTCTATACTATACTATGTACTGTACTGAACTGTGTTTGTACTGTGCTGTACTAAACCGTACTAAACTGTACTGTACTGTCTTAAATGCTGAACTATACAGTGTACTTTACTTTTTTGAGTTATAATGTACTGTACTGCAGTGGGTTGGAGGAGGAGTATAATATGTTCTTCTACGGGTACAGTAAGGAGCAGCAGACAGCAGCACAGGAGTACCAGCTTAATACCAGGTTAGTGTTCATCTATTCATCTATTTATTATTTCGTTTGCTTTATGTTTGTTCATTCATTTTTTACTTATTTATTCATATAGTTCGTTTTATCATCCTGCCATTCATTCATTCTTACATCCTCTCATACATCCTTTCATTAAATTGTTGAACTTTGTCATGTATTCTATTTGTCATTTTCTCCTTCATCTTCACCCATCCTATCATTCATTATTCCATTCACCCGATTATTTGTTCATTTATCCATTTATCCAATAAATCACTTATTAATTCATTTACCCAATTAGTCATTCATTTCTCAAATGATCCTATCTTAAATCCATTACAGAGCATTCATCCTCAAAGTTAACTAGAGGCCGCATTTAAAGAATTTGATCCGCGTTTTAAATTTAAGCCGCGAACCAAATATGGTTAGTTCCACTTAAATTATTAATTATTTTAATATTTAAGCCAGCGGTCAATTAAAACCGGGTTTTGGCAGCTCAAATTCATTAAATTCGGACACTGCTCTTATATATTTTATCTGCACTTTAACAAATAATTGTGGTTTTGGAACAAAATAATAATCTTCAGACTGAAGAAAGGCGACCCTTGCCCTCCCCCTGACCTCCCCTCCCTGTCCCCCCTCTTCTCCGGCCTCGAACGTGTCCTGGAGTCCTCCGTCCTCCTCCAGGCTGTGTCCTGCACCCTGCGAAGGATCGCAGACACTTCAACCTCCCGGAGCAAATACGTCCTGGAGAGTCATGTTCACAAGGTTGGTTTTAGTTAGGGCCGTTCAAAATAACTCAAATAATTAAATGGTTCCGACTTGTTTTCACAAAAATTATGTTTTTAACATTTAAACATCGATTCATGCACCTAATCTTAAAAGTATAATTCTTAAAACAAAAACCATGTTCCTTTATAAAAACCTGGATTTCTGGTATCTGCCAATTTTCATTGAATCCCGCTAATCTAAAAACTCGTAAAACCAGTTCTTCACAAAGGAATTGACACTTAAATTTGAGTTTTGAAAGCAAAATTGTATTTTTTGACAATTTGGTTGATACTTTGCCACTTGGATCTAGATCCGGGGATCCGGAAATTTGCCGGCCGGATCTAGATTGGTAAAAATGCTGCCGGATCCGGATCTGGATCCTGAATACTGGAAATAACAACAATTTTCCTGATGTCCAGGTTCTATTCCTGGTTGGGCTCGGCCTCCGACAGGACGCCTCGACCTCGAGTTCTAGGTTCACCAGCCTCCTCAACCAGCACGGGGTCATTGACCTCATTCAGCGCATGGTCAACTCAAGGCAGGGTTATATTTATGACCTTCATCCGACATCTAAAATCATTTTTACTTTAAAAATTTTAAGTTTGTGCTTCTAAAATGACATTCACCCCCCCCCCCCATATGAGCTGGAGCCTTAGGCCATCCCTGCAACTTATGATTTGATTTGATTTGACGCTTAATTCCCCTTACAAGCTATGACAAAAGAAGATTTTACTTATTAAAATTAGATATTACTCTTCACCGACCCTTTTTTGTCATATTTGCCATATTTACCAAATACTACTTTTTTTACTTTTAAGAAGTTAAAACAAGTATAATACGAAAGGCCGGAAGAGAATTGGTCGGAAAGACTGATTTCTGCCATTAAATAATTAAATTAGAAACACCGTATTGTCAAGTGTTAAAGTTATACAAATTTTAGGACTTGTTTTCATTTACAAAACGCCATCAAAGATTAAGCACGGTATCCTTGAGTTCCTTTATCCTAGGAAGGAAGGATAAAGATCTTTTATTTTATGGAACCTGATGATATCCCAGCCGTGAAGCTTTCAGATAGTTATTTGTGCATCATTGATGGCGCTTCTTTGGTAGTCCACAAACGTGACTTGCAGATTTATGCAACAGAAACAAAAAAGGAAAATTCAGGAATTCAGAAAACGACTCATTAAATGGGAAATCATTGACATTACGTGGATTGTGTTAGACAGATGTAACCCCTTGTATTAGACCTGACCTCCCTGAGCATATCAACAAGTTGGCCTCCTGGATCCTCGGTCAGGGCACCCGGAGGACGGAGGACAGGGTAGAGGATATGGATACTAGTGAGGGGTCCTCCGATCTACTCAGGTTAGGTCACGCTAACAGTATGTGCGATATGTTGAACAAGGTTTGAGAGAGCGAATAAGTTCTGACAGAGAAGTTAGTCGTCAACAGGTGCGTATACAGGGTAGAGGGGTGCTCATTCCTGTATACACCCCATTTGAATCAACAATGTTATTTATTTTATTGAAAATATTCTAAAACCTGATTTACCAAAGACTGAATCTAATGGTTTGAACTGTTCTGTTTAACCACATAGACTAGGCTTGATATCCACAGCATTAACTTTTAAATTAAAGGACTTAAGATGACTAGAAAGGAATTGAAAAAAAAGGGTCTGTAAGTTTATTAAAAAAAAGGTTTGTAAGTTTATTATAAAAAGGTCTGTAAGTTTATTAAAAAAGGGTCTATAAGTTTATTATAAAAGGGTCTGTAAGTTTATTATAAAAGGGTCTGTAAGTTTATTATAAAAAGGGTCTGTAAGTTTATTATAAAAAGGTCTGTAAGTTTATTATAAAAGGGTCTGTAAGTTTATTATAAAAGGGTCTGTAAGTTTAATATAAAAGGGTTTGTAAGTTTATTATAAAAGGGTCTGTAAGTTTATTTAAAAAGTGGTCTTTAAGTTTATTTTTAAAAAAGGGGTTTGTAAGTTTATCATGTTTATGAAAAAGGGGTTTTTGTTAAATAAAAAAGGGTCTTTAAGTTTATTAATCGTTTTGGTTCGTTTTTAAAAAACTTTCAATAAAACTTCCCAAACTCCAAAACTATATTCAGTTAAAGTTTGCTTTTATTAAATTCTTTGCAATATCTTTATTCTAAGAAAGGTAAAATGTTAGTTTTCGGGTTTATTTTTTTCTCAGAGTCCAATTTCAGAACATTTTTAGAATAAACAATTTTAAAAACATTTGCCATTCTGACACTGTGTCAAATTTTGACCCCGAGAGAAAACTTTTTCAAAAAACAACTAACGACACTAGCTGTCACTGAAGAATTAATTAAACGCCAGGATCCAATAATGTTTATTGCATCCTGGCGTTTAATTAATTCTTCAGTGACAGCTAGTGTCGTTAATTGATTTTTGAAAAAGTCGAAAAGTTGTGAAAAGATTAAAAATACACAAGTTTTTAACTTAGAAAGAGACGAGCTGAGGCCGCGGCAGCGCGCAAGGCTAAGATATTGGCGCAAATGTCGCAAATGCAGAAAACATTTGCCACCGAGAACAAGACTCTACTAGATAGTATTCAGGGACTTGTCCATTTTTGGTCGGTTTTCTCATTTTTGTACTTTTTTGTATTTTCATACCTTTGCCTCATTTTTCATACATTTATGTCATTTTTCATACATTTACGTCATTTTTCATACATTTAAATTTCTTTCATACATTTGACTATTTTTCATACTTATAACTATTTTTCATAAACTTGTCAATTTTTTGTTAATTTTTGTCATACTTCATGCATTTATGGCAATATGAGGATGCTAATACATTTAGCATTTGTCCTACATTTCTTTAATTTTTAATGAATTTCTGTTAATTTTTATACATTCATGTCATCTCATGAATTTGTCAATTTTTATTAATTTTTTCTCTTTTAATTTATTCATGTTATAATAATGTATTTACGTCATTTGTTTCATTTTGTGATATTTTTCAAACATTTTATCATTGTCAAACATTTATTTTCTCATTTTTTTATTAATTTAAAAAAATCAAATGAATGGATAACTCTACAGGATGATAAAGAACCCATGGCAGTGGATACAGAACAAGATATTCAGGTTCAAATGTAGTCACTTAGGGAACAAAAATAATTTAGAAATGTTGTCATCCATAGAAATAAAGGGTGTACATTAAAAAAGGTTCCCACCTACCATTTCTTCTCTAATTTATATAAATCTACAAATATTAAGCTGAAAATGTTTTACATCATAGACTGGCACATAAGGAAGAAGTTTGCATTGACCAAAGATGGATCCTGTATTAAAAAATGGGTTAAAAAGTCAAAGAGTGGAGTGAGTAATTTGGTAATAATAAGGTAATCTCCGTTTGCACAATTTTGTATAAGGTTCTACAGACTTGATTGTAATCGGATTTTCAAGATTGAGACCCTTTTTCGTAATTCGTGGAAACCCTACTGCCAACCCTGAAGAGAAACATCATAAAGAGAAGAAGTAGATGGACACAAATAAGAACCTTTGAAGAGTTTAGAAGGTTGATAGAGTCTATAATGTGTCTACTGTCCATCTAGCTGGCATCTGCAATACTCAACGCCGGGTCGCAGATGTCCAAAAACAACTACTAAATCATTTCCAAATCCGATTTTTTTTTGCATGGACTTATAACCAATATTAGGTAAATATGAATTCACAAGATTTTATTGCAAATATTGAGAGCTCTAGAATTCAAAATGTAAGCGGAAACCTTTTTTATGTACACCCTTTAGCTTGATCTGAGCAACATTGAGGAAGATATCTTCGGTTTGTTATCTGGGAAAGTCTTTGAATCCGGCGCGTTCCTCTTTTTTAAATTAAGTGTACAGTCCCTTTAAATATGTAAATGTAGATGGTGACAGTGTGTTTGGGTCCCCAGCAAACTGAGATTAAAGAAGCAAATACAAGACATCAATGTATACTGTGTCAGGTATATACATTTTATTGTTTTTTAGTTCTCTACTGTAATCTTTTGTATTTTACTCTACTGTACTCTACGTTTCTGTACTCAATTGTATAATGCTCAACTGAACTATACTCCACTGTTTTGTAATATGTAATGTACAGTGTTATTTATATAAACTGTACTGAATAGGACTTTACTCTACTGTATTTGCAGTACTACAATGAAATATGTACTGTACTTGTAATACAAACTTAACTTTTTTTGTGCTCAAATGATTCTGTTTTGTTCCGTAATCCCTATTGTACTACTTTACTATTCTCTACTACTCTGTATTTGTTGTCATAAATGTTTCTTATCGAAGCAGGTTTAATTGCTGTTGGATGATTTTGATTATTTAGGAAGAGGAGAGTATAGGATCTGTACACCCCCTGGTGATGGCTGCGTACATACAGCGTACAACAACTCTTAGCCAGGTTTAGTTGTATTATTATGTACAATCAGAATATGAACATGGGGGGTCTTATAGATCTTTTTCCTGATATTCCTGATGAACAAGGGGAAGTAGTGAAACTGATAGTACTGATAGTTCTACTAGCCATCCTTAGTTCTACTACATCTTACTTAAATCCAATCTCAGGTCTCAGCCATTTTTTTTTCTGCGGACATACCTTTTTTATCTTTTAATAAAATGAGCCTTTAAATTAGCCCGTTTTATCTGATTGGCTATTACTTTTTTCCAGTGCTTAGGATTCGTTACACCGCTTTTTTCAAGGTCCTTACTTTTCAAATTAAACCCTAACATTAAAAAGGTAATAGAAATGTGTATGCTCAATGTTAAAAAAAACTTAAAAAACTAAAGGTTGAAAAATCAGAAGCATCTCAGATTCCAGTGAGAGCTTTTAAGAGAAAAAAAACATAGCATGAAAAAGAAAACAATCAATAAGCAACATGCATCTGTAACTAGGTTGGAAGTTGGAATGGATCTGGAGAGAGAACATTTCCATCTCCAGGCCTACATCTAGAAGCCAGTAGAGTATGTTCTCCACATGTTTCATCCTGTGGACATATTATGCACGCCAGGTGGGATGTTTATTGAGGGTACCTTTATTCATAACAAGAGCCCCATTTGTGTTTCAAGTTTCCTTAGATAAAATGAGAAACTCAACCCCTCAGCAGTCAGTCGGAACCCCTGAGATAATGAGATATCAGCCTTGTTCTTGTAACTAAGAGATCTCCAGGCTCAAACCATTTTCAGCAAGGGCTTAAAACTCTGAACTAAAACTTGGGAGTTGAAAGGAAACTATCCAAATTTTCATTTGTTTTTATTTGACATTGAAAATTATTTTCAATCGAGAGCCATCTTATGACCATTCATTCAGTGCATTTGTGGACTAGTTTAATTTTCTTTCCAATTACACATCTACAACTTCATTGGTGCAATTGGAGGGAGTGGAGGGGGGCCATAAATATTTGGGCTGAGAACTTTGATTTGGATACTCATAATCATGATCTGTATCCACTGTATCCACTTGAGGTTCAATAAAAAAAAACTATTCTTTTCCAAATCTTCATTTTATTTATCTCTCCCTTAATGGGGGATAAAGAATAAAGATTAACAAAAGATCAGAGTATATCATTGGTCTTGATATCCACAATACAAGAGTTCCCAGCTCGGTTAACGTTTTAATGATATATATTTCAGGTGCTATCAGAAGTATTTTGACAGTCAAGTTGCCAAAGAGAGAGATCGTAATATAAATCTTATTACAAGGTATGAACATAAATAAACTTTCTTCTGAAATCATTTCAGACGACATACAGAATTTTTCATACAATTTATAGGGAGGGATAGTATGATAAAAATTTGAAAATAAATTACAATATGACTACTTTAAACATATCTATGGGAGACGAGCTTTCCTTGTTAGCTAAGCATAGGCGCTGAGAAAGGTGTATCCTTAAATGCTGGAATGCTTAGTCAGACCATACAGAAATATGAGGGTAATAATCAGAAGTATGTGTCAAAATGCATTTTTCCCTTGTCTACAAGAGATTAGAATGTGTAGATCTAAAAGAGAGGAACAGAAATCAGATGTAAGATCAGATAAAAAGAAGATACAAAAGTTAGATAAAAAATCACTGCTTTTTTGAAATTTTCTTTAAAAAAAAGTTTTATTTTAAAATAAATTGTAAAAAAAAACATATTTAAGTGTTTATTATATATGTTGGTTTGCTGGGTAAAAGCCAATGTCGATATTTAGAAATTGTATGGACTATTTGTCAAAAAAGTTAATGCAACTTGTTCATATTTAGCAGCTATAAGAGCTATAATATTATTTGATGTTAATTTATGAACTTTGATTTTCTAAAGATTGATAGTTAACTTTATGAACTTCGATGTTCTAGAGGGTGATAGTATGTGTTCATACACACTATAATAGTTAGAGATTGGCAGCGTTTTTGTGAACAAACAACATTTTTGAGAACTGACTAATTTTTGGGTGAACAATGAATGGATGAACAACGTGGATCGTTCAGAGAAACGATCTTTTTTTGAAACAAATGAAAAATACGATCGTTCATGAACTTTTGAAAAACTATCAGTTTTTTACTGAAAGAACGTATTTTTCGTTCAGTGAGAAAACAAACGAGACAGATTGAAAATTAATGATAATTTTGAGAACAAACAATATCAATTTGTTTTTTTGGACGATTGAAAAACTAACGAAATGGGTCGTTGACAAATGATGAACGAACGAAATGAAAAAAAAGCGGAACGCACCCATCTCTATTTATAGAATATGTGTCTATTTTTAGAAACTTTATGAACTATGATGTCCAAGATGGTGAATACACATGCCCTATCTGTGAGAGATTAAGTAACACTGTTCTTCCAGTTCTACCTCCCCTTTCTTCACTAAGGTTAGAGATGAAAACTTATTGTTTTTTGAAGAAAGAAAAACGTCAAAAACATCAAAAATCAATTTTGTCTATTTGGGTATTTTAAATTTTTCTTTTTGCAAAAACAAAAGATAATTTTAAAAAAGTATGATTTTGAGCATGATTAGTCCTATTTTTCCAATTTTTGTTGATTTTCTGAGCTATAAATCTAAATAATGCTAAAAATTGCTGAACCAGGTTTTTTAAAAAATATTGTCAAGATAATTTTATTGTAGGAAAAAGCAGTCTAAAGCTCCAGTCCCAGAGTTAGGATTGAACACCTTTGTCAAGGTTATCAAGGATGTTGCTGACTCCTGTACTCCCAAGGAGAAGCAAAAGGAAGGAGAGGAGGAAGAGAAGGAGAAGAAGAAGGATGAGGTTTCATGTTTTCTCTCCTGTCATTCTAAGCAGAAAACTCTTAGGAAATTATTGAGAACTTTTAGTTTCATAACATGAAATCTGACATATTTGAAAAGTTTATTAAAAAGGGGATGGGCCGGATAGAATGTTATGAATAGCAGGATGGCTTAGTCATGATTTCAGAATCTAGTTTCTTAACTTAATCATTAAGTTACTCATTGTATTATTGAATGAAGGGAGTTGACTCTGGCATATGGATCTGAAGTTAGGGACTCATTCAAGACATCTCTCAAGGATGATAAGCCTCCTGTTGTAGAGGTCAGTATGATTTATTTGCGTCGGCATCAGCGTCGGCGTCATCATCAGCGTTGGCGTCAGCTTCAGAGTCAGCGTCAGTGTCGGCGTCGGCGTCAGTGTCAGCGTCGGCGTCAGCATCGGCAACAGCGTCAGTGTTGGCGTTTAGTATTCTTATTTCGACTGTTTAGGAGATGCAGAACATGATGTCTGGGTTCTGTATGGCAGTGTACACCCGGAGTCAAGACGTGAATCCAGATGAAATGGATCCAAGGGTTCCTCTGCTTCTTCATCAGGTAAATGATTGTTTTTATTGTTATCAATAATATCATTATTATTATTATCATTGAAAACTACAAGATCTTTTTTTTAAGAAAACAGACATCTCTGTTCTTTTTGTAGGCTGTGTCAACCACTCTTTTAAGTTTAGACCTTCAACTTCAGCAAGAGTCGAAACCTTTATTTGGTAGTTTAAACACCAGGTAAACTAAACTATTCATTCATTCATTCTTTTATTCATCCTTTTATTTATTTATCTAATAATTTATTCATTCATCCTTTCACTCGATCATTTATTTAATCATTCATCCTTTCGACATTTATTCATTTATTTAGTCATTGATTCCAAAGGTTTATTTGGTAGAAACACCAGTTCAAACGATTTATTTATTCTTTTTTATTACCAGTTTTTATTTAATCATCCACATGATTCATTTTTATATTGTTTTTAAACAAAATATTTTTAATTTCGTAAAGTTATTCAATTTAACAAAATTGTTACGTGTAATAATCACAATATGTTATGTGTAAGAAAAGACATTTTTTAATAAACATAATGCGCTATATAGTAAAGCAAATTGTACAGTTAATTAGATTCGAGACATGCTAATAGCAACGATTGTTAACGACTTATAAAATATAATCTTGACAAATGAAGGAAGATTTCTCTTTCCTTGTTTCAACATAAAACTGTTCTCAATTTTCAACATTATTGTTGTAGTATTGCATTTATATATTTATATATTTAATTTTATTTTTATTCTTTTATATATTCTTCATTTGCTAATTCATTCTTAAATCCATTCATTTCCTCTGAATATTTTGTATTCAGGGATGACGAGTTAGTTCGCCACCTTGTCAGATTAATTGGTTCATATCCAGCCTGTTGCAGAGTTCCTTATAGGTTAGTCATTCATTCATTTATTTAATTATTCATTTATTCATTCATTTATTATTTTATTAATTCATCCTTTCAACGATTCTTTCATGTCACAGAGTTCCTTATATGTCAGTTAATCATCCATTCATAGTTCATTATAATAAAAAAAATTGTCCATTATATCTATCGTTCTTTTTTTCATCCATTCCTTTTCCCTTTTCCCATTGACTATGCATGCTATCTAAACATCCTTTTTTCACGGATTTTCTCAAAATTAACATGGTAAAGGTAATGTTTGAGAGGAACGTTAATTTTTTGAAAAAAACTTAATAATTTAGGTGTAAGGTTCTTCAGGACAATGGTTGCTTTCTGCTCAACTCTATGTTTGGAGGTAGGGTTCGGGTTTAATATTTGATGATAGGCTGGAAAAGTATCTTTACACAATTTAAGCACAGTTAAATCTTTGAGTTCATGAACACTCTCTGGGTATGAGTAAATTTTAACTGAAAATGTTTCGTTGATCTAATGTTAAGTGGTAGCGTCAGCGGTAGAGTCAGCGGTAGCAGTAGCGTCAGCGGTAGCGTCAGTGGTAGCGTCAGCGGTAGCGTCATTGAGCTTTCCCTCTGCCCGGTGGTCCACACTTTGATGCTTACGGTCATCCACCAGTGAGTTAGGCTCTACCCATACCTTTCACACGACTGTTTTATTCATTTCATTCATAATAATATAATATTTTATTTATAATTTGAGATGGTGGTAGTGTACGGTGTGTATTTGACCTGGATATGTTTGGTCTGCTGGTCAGCTTAATCTCATCTCTACCTGGACTATTCTACTCAGAGACTTCAACTCCACCCAGGTATAACAATCAATCAATCAACTCATTTAATAAATCAATCAATGAATTTATTTTTGAATTAATCATTAATTTATTCATTTAATTAAACATATAAATTCATTTCATTTTTATTTTATTAATAAATAATCAATTTATTTAATTATTAAATCATTTCATTTAATTGATTATTTAAGTAATAAATTATTAATTAAATCAATTCGTTTCATAGATCAATCTATCATTCAATTTATCAATTGATCAATTAGTCACTTAAGAATTTGGCATATTTTAGACATAAGCACAAAATAGTTTTTATTGAAAATTTTAATGTATATTGTATATATTTCAATTGACACACTTTTGTTTGAATGCAGGGTGTTATCTGGTCTGGGGTTGGAGTTGAACTGTTTAAAGATCTGTGTGCTGCTGCAGATTGTTCAGATACTGCGCGGATATCCAGAACGCGCGTTTGTGGAATTTGCCGGTGTGCACAATAAGTCAGAAAACCAGTTATTGCAGAAGGTTAATATCTTGTTATTGTGTTCTTGCTTAAGATATGGTTGTTGAAAACATATTTGCTAGAAACGCAGATCCTAGAAACTAAAATGATAATTAAATGAAAAAATAAGGATAATGGAGGGTCGAGGATGTCAACCTGAGGTCACGTCTAAATTAATAGAACAAAACTAGACTCTCCCAGGCGTGTAGTAAATTAGTATCGAAAGGGGAGGTACTGATGGCTGAAGTTGACTGAGGGCCAGATTTCCTTTAATTGATTAATTAAAGGATTTATTTACTTTTTATTTTTGTAGAAATCATGGTTCCAGCAAATTATATCTGTAGTTTAAATATCTTTGTGTAACTATATCTTTATCTCTAATAATGATCTTTTTTTAATGTTTCGGGTCATCTGCATAGTGTATATGCCTTAAGCGATCAAGTCCAGTATATTTTCTATATATATAGTTCTGTTTTGTCAAGCGAGTTATATAGTGAGATATCTATCCAGCTATATATTTAGTGAGTTAGTTATATATCTATCAAGCTCTCTAATACCCATCCCTCTATCTATCAATCTATTGAGTTGATCTTACTATCCAGCTATCTTGCGAGTTAACTTTTTATCAAGATATTTATATATTAAGCTATCTGTCTATCGAGATAGCTTATATTAAGATATCTGTCTATCGAGATAGCTTATATTAAGATATCTATCTATCGAGATAGCTTATATCAAGCTATCTGTCTATCGAGATAGCTTATATTAAGCTATCTGTCTATCGAGATATTTATCTATTAAGCTATCTGTCTATCGATATATTTATCTATTAAGCTATCTGTCTATCGATATTTTTATCTATTAAGCTATCTGTCTATCGAAATATTTATCTATTAATCTCCCGAGTTAGCCATCTATTAAGATATCTGTCTATCGAGATAGCTATCTATGGAGTTAGCCATCAATCGAGATAGCTATTTATCAAGATATCTGTCTATCGAGATAGCTATCTATCGAGTTAGGCATCAATTGAGATAGTTATCTATTAAGCTATCTGTCAATCGAGATATCTATCTTTTAAGAAATCTGTCTACTGTCTATCGAGATAGCTTTTTATCAAGATATCTGTCTATCGATATATTTAGCTATTAAGCTATCTGTCTATCGAATATTTATCCATTAAGCTATCCGTCTATCAAGATAGCTGTCTAGTACGTTACCTATCTATCAAAGGTTCTTACTACAAAATTATGACCTATCAATATTTATTGAAACATAATAATTATGTTAATATTGTTTATAACAAGGTGGTCGGAAGAATTGCTCGTCAGCGCCAATTCAGCCTAGACGTGAAAAAAATGAACTATTCAAGGTGAAGTTTTTTATACTGTTTACTTTTCAATCAAAATTGGGTATCATTTAAATACTCAAAAAGTAAATTTTATTTTTGTGAATTTTTATCGCTAAGAAAACTTGAGTTTTCTTATTTCATTTTTACAATATCAATATCAATATGATGTCATTTTCACATTTTGTTTATCTTGCTACAGCTTTAATCTTGTTCTTGTTATTGTTCTTGTTCCTGCTATGGCTATTTCTATTGCTCTTTTTTGTTTTGGTTCTTGTTCATGGTGTTTACTCTTTCCTTCTTGTTCATGGTGTTTACTCTTTCCTTCTTGTTCATGGTGTTTACTCTTTCCTTCTTGTTCATGGTGTTTACTCTTTCCTTCTTGTTCATGGTCTTCACTTTTTCCTTTTTCTTATTATTATTATCAAAGTATTATTATTCTTATGTCTTCTTCGAATTCGAATACGACTAATATCATTATCGTCATTGTTATTATCATTGTTATTATTGTTATTATCTAGACTAAGCAGCAGGCTAGAGCAGGACCTAGTTCCTTTACTCCGCTGTTCAGCTCTGCTGTTTAACAGTTTGACAGATATACCCCCAGGACAGCAGTTGTCACAGGACGGAGGAACTGTATACAAGGAACAACAAGCTCATTATACAAATCTTTAATTTTTAAAGAATTTTTATCTTTCTCGAACAGATCTTATTGATCTTTCTTCATTGATCTTTTTAAAGTAGACACTGAACCTTTTCAAGAACATCTTTCTTGATCTTTCTTGATCTTTTTTTAAATTTTTGATCTTTTATTTATGATCATCTTTGCTAAGAACTTATTTTCAAGAAAATTTTAAAAGACCATGATCATGTTAAGACAATATTGACCTGTTTGATTTGAGTTTACTCGTGATTTGATAAAGTTTTCTTTAAATAAAAATTTTCATTCTACTAAAAGTGATCTTTCTCAAGAATTAAATGATCCTTCTCATCTACTGTATTTATGGCGTTAAATTGATCTTTTTAAAGTAAACATTTTTGTTCTTTTAAGGTTTTTCTTTTTTTGCGGATTTCTTAATAGCTGGTTGTATTAGAACCTGTCAGTATATCTTGGTTTGCCGGTCAGCTTAAGCCTACTTCTGGATACTCCAGCTGCCAACACCCTTCTAGGCATTCAATACATCTTTCATTGTTTTCTTTTTGAATTGTTGAATGTTAAGTATTGAGAATAATGAATGTACTATTTTTCTAAAAATGATATTCTTCTGTACCAAATCAACAATATCAACAAAATAATGTTATCTTTCTTTTACTTTATTGTTTTTTTTCTAATTTGTATTATCTACCCGACTTGGCATACAGTATCTACAAGTACGGCTCGGGTCAAAGCTGTCGTTGGGCCTTATTTACGACTTTTCCCACAGACTTGAATTCAAAAAACCGGTTTAATATTCTATTTGGTGGATTCCGGGTTTTCATGAGAACAAGATTCTACATCTTTCATTATTTTCTTATTATTCTTCTCTTTAAATAAGATTGGTCCAAATCAAAAATCACCAAAAAATGTTGGGTGTACCAAAGAATTTTATCTTTCTATGACTTAATTGTTGTTTTACTAATTTGTACTCTTTAACCTTGCTAGACATTCAATTTAGAGCAATAGCTGAGAACTAAAAACTGTTGATCAGAAAGGAGAGGCACTAAAAGCCTAGTTTAATAGTTTTAACATGTTTTATATGTCGCGTCATTTACGGCATATTAATATACTTTATACTCCCTACCTACCTGAATCCCCCCTACCCCTTAATTCTTAAATTTAACATTCTTTCCTTCCACTTTCTCCGCATGTCTATCTGTCTGTTTGTATCCAATCGGAACATTTTAGTACGGTTAATAAAGAAAAATGTCAGCTTAAAGAGCAACGAGTAACAGCTAAAATTCTTACAGAAAGAGGGGCGTTGTAGTCTCTAGTTTACTTCAAAACCTTTGAAATTGTATGAATTACAGATAGCACTCTGTTGAATAAACCTGATTCAAACCAAGTGGAAACCAGCCCGTCCTTTCCACTTACCTTTAGAAGGTAAAAATAAGTCTTATTTGAATTTAGATGGAAACTTTTGAATATGATTTATTCTGAACTATTTTGAGCTATAATGCTTCTCTTCAGGCATGATGTTCGTATGCGTGTGTAAACTTATCGAATTGTACTTGTGCGCTGTGTTGGGTTCGTGGTGTACGTAGCGTACACTGGAAATAACAGCATAATACAAACTTAATACCATAATCACAAAATAACCCTAATCCTGGCGCAGATCAAGTCGTAATTCGTCTCGTTTGTGGAGTTGGTAATAAGAGATGAGATCTGCAAGAAGTCCCTTCTTGTGCAACCCAGACCGTCTAAAGGTAGATCCATCCTATGCAAAAATGATTATTACTATTAACGTCCTAGGTCTGTGCCTTGTCTAAAGCCTGGAGCCCAGAAGCAGTATTTTCCAGTTGGAGGTCTGACCCAGAGCACAGAGTGGAGAGGAGGACTCATCCCTCTTCCCAGGATTGTTTACATTCAACCCAGATATTTGTTTACATTCAACCCAGATATTTGTTTACATTTAACCCAGATATTTGTTAACATTCAACCCAGATATATGTTAACATTTTTTCCAGCTATTTGTTACCATTTTACCCAGATATTTGTTAACATTTTCAACCCAGATATTTGTTAACATTCAACCCAGATATTTGTTTACATTCAACCTAGATATTTGTTAACATTCAACCCAGATATTTGTTAACATTTTTCCCAGATATTTGTTTACATNGATAGATAACAGTTACAGGTATAGAACTAGATAGATGGATAGATAACAGTTACAGGTATAGAACTAGATAGATGGATAGATAACAGTTACAGGTATAGAACTAGATAGATGGATAGATAACAGTTACAGGTATAGAACTAGATAGATGGATAGATAACAGTTACAGGTATAGAACTAGATAGATGGATAGATAACAGTTACAGGTAGAGAACTAGATAGATGGATAGATAAATGGACTAAGGGATAGACAGATCAACACACAGACAGATGTTCATATAGACAAATAGACAGATAAGTGAATACACATATGGACAGCGATCAGGTGGACAGACATACGGATTTAATTATTGTTTCGCTACTTAGCGAATTCCCTAAAGACCTAATGAAATTTATAAGTACCGAGTGGTATTTCTCTGGATAGGATTGTAAGGCTTCCTTCTCACAACCCTGATAACAATATTGTTTTATCTGAAACCCGTCCTGTCTCTTTATTAAACTCTGATAACAATATTGGTTTATCTGAAACCCATCCTTGCTTTACATGCAACCCTGATAACAATATTGGTTTATCTGCAACCCTTCCTGTCTCTTCATACAACCCTGATAACAATATTGGTTTATCTTAAACCCGTCCTTGCTTTTCATACAACCCATGATAACAATATTGTTTTATCTGAAACCCGTCCTGTCTCTTTATTAAACTCTGATAACAATATTGGTTTATCTTTATTCACTTTAAAACATCCTGTCTTCCCAGGGAACATCCAACTCTAAATCCAGCTCATCAGGGCTCGAAACCTTGGCTGATCCCTCAATCAGCTCATCATAAGTAGGAGGACGCTCCACAACTCTTCTAGAGAACCTCAAAGCTGCACTCATCCTCTTTGGAGAGACAATCTTTTCCGTTCTCTCCTCCTCAGCCTCCAGAAACACCTCACTCTCTTCATCCAGCATCACCACCTCCTCCTCACTACAGCCATCCTCCTGCTGAGGCCCGGAGACACTCTCTCCGAACCCACTCCTATCTCTGGATGGACCAGGAGAAGGCTGGGATGGAGGGAGATCAACCGGCTCCTCAGCATTAGACTCAGCTACACTCTCCTTCGAACTTCTCATCCTCAGCCTCTTCAGCTTCCCAGGCCTAGGATTCTTCTTCCGCTTCACTCCTGACCTCACCTTGGGAGTGGGTAGAGCAGGGACCTCCCCTTTCCACTTAGTCCGCTCCTCGAACTCCCAGTCTGCCGAGAGCTTGGTCAGCCGTTCAACCCTCATCCTTCTCACTTTCAACTCCTCCTCACACTTCTTCAATCCCTCTGCCTCCTCCACCAACGAGTGGAGCACAGCAGCTTTCAACCTCTTCTCCGTATCTTCCACAGTTGGAGCCTTCTCATCCATGATACTCCTATAGCATAGACGCATAGCATCGTATAGACCCCTGTAAAATCTCTGGAACCCTGTATCCTTCTCCATCCTTGTGAAGAACCTGCTTAGATCCTGGGGGTTCATTCTAGCCCACTCCAACAAGGACCATCTCTGGCATCTTCCTATCAACGTGCACTTCTCTCCAATCTCCTTGCTCTTAACCTTGCTCATATCCAACACCAACAGGGGAATCTTCAAGTTCTTCGGCCTCCCCCAGCCTCTGACACTCCCCACTGGCTCCGACCAAACCTGCTTCTCCAGCTCCTCAGACTCCAGACCAAACCTAGCATACTCTCTCTCGTCTCTCCCAGGAACCTCTAATCTTCTTCCCTTGGACCAAGTATATCCGACCTGAGCTAGGACTGTCATCTGGGATAGAAACCACTCCCTTGCTTCTAGAAGATACCGATATCCTCCGGAAGTAGGACTAGGCCACTTCCCTAGAATTTGAGACCACAAACGATCCAATGGAGGTGAAAATTCACACAACTTCTCCCTCTCATCCCTATACCTCAGAGAAAGAATCATCTCCTCCCTCGTCTCAGCTTCTTCTTCCGCCTTCTGATGATACTCAACTCCTTCTAATGATACCATCAGGAACTCCAGAAACCAGTCTGCAGCTCCCTTCTGGCTACACTTCAAGTACCGGCACAGTACATCCGGATCCGGAAAAACATCTCGTAAGAGTAACTCAGCAAGAATATTATAGCTCATGAACCCGAACTGGATATCCCCCAACGCATAACACTTCAGGGACTCTGGGATCAACTGCCATCTCTCTCCCCACCAGTCATCCCCTGTAGAGACGTTCTTGTTCAGGAGAGTTCCAATAACCTGTACTCCCATTGCTGTCATATTTCTCGACTGGAATTTGTACCTGGCTAAAATGGCTAGAGATGTGAGATCGATGAAACCTCTCTCTATCCTCACCTCCTCACCAGAGATCAAGGAATAGAACTCCTCCACTCCCCGTATTGCAAGTCCGGCAGACACGGGAAGATCACGGAGTAAACCAAGCATCTCCAGTTGAACCGTCATTCTCTCCAGCACGTACTCCTTCCTCTTGTTTCTCTTTAGATCCAGCGAAATCAGACAAGTCCAGGATACTCCATTCCCGAACATAATCTTACCAGGAATCTGCTTGAAAGTGTCCTTAGAGAATCCCGTCATCAGCTCCGGATCACATTTCCTTTTCAGTACTGCATCGTTGGGATTAATTGTAGCTCTCCCAGCCATCCTAAGAGTATCAAAGTAGGTAGCTTTGACGTCTTCGACATCAAAGGATACAATCCCGGTTCCAAACATCCGCTGATCCGCATCCTGCATCCTACCAATCCAACCACGCAGAAAACTTGCGCATGCGTAGTCGGTCTGGAAACAGCTTCTAAAACTAGTTTTTACAATACGTTCTGTACAGATCCTCAGGGAGAACTCAGGGATTCACAGGGGCATCACATAGACTTTATGAACGCAGCATGGCTTGCGTAACACTCCCCCAACCAAGAGCAAACAAAAAGAAAAAAGTTCCATTTGCACCCCGCGACTTAATCCTCCTGATAACTCCACTAGACCTGAAACACAATCACTGGAATCTTTAAGAGTTTGAATTCACGTTTTACTTCCTAAAACATCCTGTCCTCCCAGGGAACATCCAACTCTAGATCCAACTCCTCAGGGAACGAAACCCTAGCTGATCCTTCAATCATCTCGTCATAAGTAGGGGTTCGCTCCACAACTCTTCTGGAGAACCTCAAAGTTGCGCTCATCCTCTTGGGAGAGGCAACCTCTTCTGTCCTTCCCTCCTCAGCCTCCAGGAAAACATCATCCTCCTCACTCAGCATCACCACCTCCTCACAGCCATCCTCCTGCTGAGGCCCGGAGACACTCTCTCCGACCCCACTCCTATCTCTGGATGAACCAGGAGAAGGATGGGACGAAGAGAGACCTACCGACTCCTCATCAGTAGAACCAGCTGCATTCTCCTTCAGACTCCTCATCCTCACCCTCTTCAGCTTACCAGATCTCGGATTCTTTTCCCTCATCACTCCAGACCTCTTTTTCGGAGTACCCAGAGCAGGGATCTCATCCTTCCATCTGGTTCTCTCTTCATACTCCCCGTGAGAGGATAACTTGTTCAACCAAACCATCCTCTTCCTCCTCATCCGCGTCTCAGCTCCCTCCTTCACTGCCTGGTGAAATTCTACTCCTTCCAGGGACATCCGGATGAAATCCAAGAACAAATCAGCTGCATTCTTCTGGTTGCATTTTAGAAACCTGCATAGAACATCAGGGCCTAACGCATAACATCTGAGGGATTCCGGATTCTGCTGCCATCTAACACCCCAGTAGTCATCACCAGTCAACACATTCTTGAACAGTGTTTGAAGCACCTGAAACCCCATGGCCTTATGATACTGGGCGGGGATTAATATTCTCATCCTAGGATCAAACTTCTTGCTCCTCTCCTGGCTCAATCTCTCCTTCACACACTTCCTCAGATCATCCGTTGTCAGAAGTCTCTGTGTACAAGTTGCAGAAACTGAGGTTTGTACTCCAAGTTCCTCCAGGTAGGAATACAAAATAAGAGATTTCTTCAGACCAGAAAGTTTCTTCAAACCAGGAAATCTCCTCAATATAGAAAACTTCATACCAATTATAGGACGAGAGACTAGTTCTTTAACACCACTCAGATCAGGGAATTTCTCCAGGTACAAGTACAACACAGGAGATCTCATCAGACCAGGAGACTTTCTCAATCTAGAAAACTTCATACCAATTATAGGACGAGAGACCAGTTCTTTAACTCCACTCAGATCAGAGAATTTCTCCAGGTACAAGTACAACACAGGAGATCTCAGAACAGGAGAACTCATCAGGGGAGAAGTATATATAGAATCAGCTTTCAGAACAAGAGATCTCATCAGACCAGGAGATCTATTTGAATCAGAAGATCTCATCAGATCAGGAGGTCTCAGAACAGGAGATCTCAGAATAGGAGCTCTCAGAACAGGATATCTCATCAGCCCAGTAGATCTCAGAACAGGAGATCTCAGAATAGGAGATCTCATCAGGCCAGGAGATCTTACCAGATCAGGAGATCTCATCAGACTAGGGAATCTCTTTAAACCAGGAGATCTTAGAACAAAAGACCTCATCAGACCAGGAGATCTCTGGCCAGGATCAATTAGTAGCTCTCCAGCTACACCCCTTCCCACGTGAAACACCAAAACCGAAAAAGGAACTGATATATCACCACTATCATCACCAGGCTCTTCTTCCTCCAGTTCAGGTTCAGTAATCGGAGCTGAACACTTCCCAGGTTCAGGATTCCTCATCATCTCACGAATACTTATTATCTCAGCACTACTTATCAGCTCAGGACTACCATTCTTCTCAGGATCGTCATTCTTCTTAAAATTACCGTCACTCCCTTTTAAATCCTCAGTCCGTCTAAAATAATTAACTTTCTTAAAACTATTAGCTTTATCCAAGCCATCATCGTTCCTAAAATCCTCATTCCTCTTACCATCGTCATTCTTCTTAAAATTTTCAACCTCGTCAATCTTGATCAAAAACTCTTTCTGGTTAGGCTTAGCTCTCCAACTTTGTGATACAGGGTCCATTAGTAGCTCTGCTACACCCCTGCCTGTTTTAGCTAAAGTAACGGAAAATGTATCAGTTTCAGTACTCTTAGTCCAATCAAGGCCTTCATCATTCCTGAACTTTGCAATAGGAACTTTCGCTTTAAACACTCCATAGCCGTCCTCGCTAGTGTTTCTATCCAGGGCTGTGCTGAGATCACAGTTCGGAGAATTACACTCCACCGCATTTACAACCACACTCCCTGTATAAACACCTTGCTTTTTAGAATCTTCATTGTTCATTACGTCCTCGGTTTTCACAGCTGAATCCGCTCCTCTAATTACTCCATAATCACCCTCATCAGTGTGTCTACCCAGGACTGTGTTGAGATCACTACTAGGAGAATTACACTCCACCGCGTTTACAACCACATTCCCGTCATAACTACCTTGATTTGCCTCTCCTTCATCCAGGGCTGCGGTAGATTCCCGGTCTAGAGAATTACACTCTTCCGCAAATCCATCTACATTCCCTGGATCTGTTTGCTGCTTAATAAGTTGTTGGAAGGATTTCCAGGACTCTATCTCCAAGTGCAGTTTACATGCATTTCCCTGATGCTCTAGAATTGAACTCAANTTAGGGCCAATATTTGGCATGCATCTTTTAGGGCCAATATTTGGCATGCATCTTTTAGGGCCAATATTTGGCATGCATCTTTTAGGGCCAATATTTGGCATGCATCTTTTAGGGCCAATACTTGGCATGCATCTTTTAGGGCCAATACTTGGCATGCATAATATCAGGTTACCAAGATATGTAGGGATTATCAAGTTAATCTCAAGAATAGAGTTATCCCGCTCAGTCACTCGACATATTTTTCCGAACTGGCAAATATATCAAGGATGAGAGATAGCTCAATAAATTAGACTTAATCAATTGTCATTCCTATCATGATCAACAATCTTCAGAATTTATCAATTGATCTCAAGGTAGAGTTATTCTCCTCACTCACTCAACATATTTTTCCTATCTGGCAAATACACTAAAGGTGAGGGAATAGCTCAATAAATTAAATCTTTTGGTATAATCCAGTGTTCGCCCCTTCAAAGTATTGACTAGGAGGGTGCAGACGATGGATCATAAATCTCAAGTATACTGTTTTCATCCAATCATCCAACTATGAACATTCCATCAACATCCAATTTTATAACTTAGACTTTGTTCACTCGGTCCTTCACTATATTTTTCCAATTTGGCCAATATACTGACAACGAGAAACGAATCCAGTTTATAAACTCAATTAAATATCCCACCTCAATTTACTAGATACAGATCTAATAAATGATAAGAGTTAGGATTACTAAAGGATCTCAGTTTAATAAAGCTTCCTTGTAAGCTTATTCCTACGTCAGTCCGTATATTTTCCAACTTAGGCAATATAGCGGCAACGAGAAATTTAGCTCAATCTCAATTAATTAACCAGTACTCTACAAGGTTGCGATTGAATGTTTCGCTACTTAGCGATTTTCCTAAAGACCTAATGAAATCTCTACAAGTACCGTGTGGTATTTCTCTGGACAGGATTGTAAGACTTCCTTCTCCATAACAAAAGGATAATAATAAGGTTCCGAACGTTTATTTCTCCGAGTCTTCAATCTAAATAATCTTTTATAAGCCCACAGAAAAAGCATTGAGTGATAAATCATACAAGCACAGCAATAAATCAACTCAGGCATTAAAAAACTGTGGAATGGAACCAATACATTACATTATAAGATATCAACCATAACGGAACATAAATAAGCAAGATTCATATAAATATAAAGCATAATTACCGCAGTGATCCTAGAATTTCACACGGTTTAATAATAGACGATCTTTACATGAGAAACAAATATATACTAAGGTAGAATCTGCCCGCTTCCACGCAGAAAACTTGCGCATGCGTAGTCGGTCTGGAAACAGCTTCTAAAACTAGCTTTTACAATACGTTCTGTACAGATCCTCAGGGAGAACTCAGGGATTCACAGGGGCATCACATAGACTTTATGAACGCAGCATGGCTTGCGTAACAGATTCATAGGGTTGTGACCAATTATTTGTAGCAAATGATTTGAAAAATATAAATTGAACATTATTTTTTCTAGAATTTTAAGCATACGGCAGGCAGTAGTGATCTCTTAGTGGGGACAACAAATCTACCTTATTTGTAAATAAATCAGAAATCAATGATTATTTTGTATGGGTTGAAATGGAAAGATTAAAGACCATGTTCACGCGAATTCTTTGGTATAAATTTTTATTTGTGAAAGTTATCCATTTTGGAGGCAGAAGAGATTCAATTGTTAACCTAAATAATGTTTGACATCATTCTCGTGGATTTGAAGATTCCAACATCTCAAAATCCTTGGAAAACTCTATTCTAGTCATGTTTTATGCCCTAACGTCGCCATATTTTTAAAAAATGTATTGTATTTTCAAGGATCGGACACTTAAAAAAAATAATATTGAAAGGACGAGGATTTCGATGTGGTTCGGACGAGAAAATGATGAGAATGTGGTTCGGACTACGAGAAAATGATGAGAATGTGGTTCGGACTACGAGAAAATGATGAGAATGTGGTTCGGAGATTGATGTGGTTGGCCTTCCTCCCCTCGCTGATACGAATCCTTGAAAACATTGGATAAAATAACATATTAAATAGAAACTTTTGAATTTTTTTTTTTGAAAAAAATGTTTTATGCGACCCCCCCCCCCCCATCCCCATACTTTCACCTCCTCTCCACTTTTCCAATGTCCAGTAATCTGTACCTTCCTCGTTTTACAAGGATTTGTGAACCCCCTGGCGGCCAGTACTGACACTAGACAGGGGCCTAGATTAACATAAATATATTTTTATGGATTTAGATTAATTTTAGCTTTTTGTTTTCTTATTCAGCTTAATGCAGGAAAGGCTTGATCCAAATCTTCCATACTACGCGCTGTATAAGTAAGTACTGACTGTTGTAAATTAAATTTAGAAATATGGAAGATTGTGTTGTACTTCCACCTTTTAAGTGGTTTCTGGGGCAAGACATGTGCACGTCACAAATGAAAATGATCAGTTTTCTAAAACATTAGTATCTAATTTATACTTGATCAGGCTAAACGCTGTGAATTATAAATGCCACTTTGTCAATTAGAATTGCGTTTACAGTCTCTTTGAAAAGAAAATCCTTTGTATAGTAATCAAAGACAATTTTCTATTCTTGGTCTATTGGGCCAGTAAATATTCTAAAAAAAATTTAATCATCAACGTTTTTTTATAGTTTATCGGTGACGACTGAAAGGACAAAAAATTAAACTTACAAAGTAATTCCTTTTAGGTTGGATTATGCCACGTTCCATCAAATATTCCTTTTAGGTTGGATTATGACACGTTCCATCAAATATTCCTTTTAGGTTGGATTATGACACGTTCCATCAAATATTCCTTTTAGGTTGGATTATGACACGTTCCATCAAATATTCCTTTTAGGTTGGATTATGACACGTTCCATCAAATATTCCTTTTAGGTTGGATTATGACACGTTCCATCAAATATTCGAGCTTTGTTCCCCCTGGAGAAAGGTATGCGTTAAAAACATCTTAAATTAGGTAGTTAGAGCTGGGACTTTTTTATTGTTTACATCGAGATTAATGCTTGATCTTGTAGTTTAATTTTGTAGTTAAATATCCGCTGTGTTGTTAGATATAACAGACAACAATTGGTAACAATTTAACAACAATTGGTAACAATTTAACAACAATTGGTAACAATTTTACAACAATTGGTAACAATTTAACAACAATTGATAACAATTTAACAACAATTGGTAACAATTAAACAGCAATTGGTAACAATTTAACAGCAATTGATAACAATTTTACAACAATTGGTAACAATTTAACAGCAATTGGTAACAATTTAACAACAATTGGTAACAATTTAACAACAATTGATAACAATTTAACAACAATTGATAACAATTTAACAACAATTGATAACAATTTAACAACAATTGGTAACAATTTAACAACAATTGGTAACAATTTAACAAAAATTGATAACAATTCAACAACAATTGGTAACAATTTCCATAGCCCGGCCAGATCAAAGAGCTGTAGGACAATGTCTACCTTCTTGATTTTAATTGAAAAATAACAGAAACATTTAAAAACAATTATAATGATAATATTAGGCCGAGGTTGCAGATCAACTGTCTTTAAGAATGTTCAAGATAATGGATCCAACAAGAAATGAATTTATTAATTTCAAGGTAAAAATAAATCACTACTTAGGGAAACTATTAGAACTCTTAAAATTCTTGAAAACGAATCAAGAAATGAAAATAATCTCAAAACTTTTAAAAACCTCTTCAGCATCTAAGACACTTAAAACACTCAAAACACTTAAAGCACTTATAACTTTTGAATAAATAATCTTGAAGTTTACAATAAGCGCGACATGCTTGAAAGGCATAAACATCTTGAAACCCATGAAACCCATGAAACCCATCAAACTCATCAAACTCATGAAACTCATTAAACTCACGAAACCCATGAAAAACATGAAAACCTTGAAAACCTTGAATAAGTTGTAAACCTTGCAAACCTTGCATGCCTTGAAACCCTTGAAACCCTTGAAACCCTTGAAAAGCATGATTTCATACACTTAAAATGGCAAACCCTTGAAACCTTCGAAACCCTTGAAACCCTTGAAACCCTTGAAACCCTTGAAACCTTCGATACCCTTGAAACCCTTGAAACCCTTGAAACCCTTGAAACCCTTGAAACCCTTGAAACCCTTGAAACCCTTGAAACCCTTGAAACCCTTGAAACCCTTGAATCCCTTGAAACCCTTGAAACCCTTGAAACCCTTGAAACCCTTGAAACCCTTGAAATCCTTGAAACCTTTGAAACCCTTGGAAGCAATGAAACCCTTGAAGCCCTTGAAACCCTTGAAACCCTTGAAACCCTTGAAACCCTTGAAACCCTTGAAACCCTTAAAACCCTTGAAACCCTTGAAACCCTAGAAACCCTAGAAACCCTTGAAACCCTTGAAACCCTTGAAACCCTTGAAATCCATGAAACCTTTGAAACCCTTGGAAGCAATGAAACCCTTGAAGCCCTTGAAACCCTTGAAACTCTTGAAACCCTTGAAACCCTTGAAACCCTTGAAACGCTTGAAACGCTTGAAACGCTTGAAATGCTTGAAATGCTTGAAATGCTTGAAAGGCTTGCAAGGCTTGAAAGGCATGATATCACACACTTAAAGGGCAAACGCTTGAAACCATAGAAACCCTTGAAACCATTGAAACCCTTGTTACCATTGAAAAGCTAGGAATGCTCTTATGAACCTCTTAAACTTCTTGAAGAAATCCCCTGAATCCTCTTAATCCATGTATACTGTACAGGATGTAGTGATTTTACTGAGTATGATGTGTGGAGAGGATTTACCTAAATCCTCTTAATCCATGTATACTGTATAGGATGTAGTGATTTTACTGAGTATGATGTGTGGAGAGGATTTACAGAAGAAACTAAAATTGCTTTACTGTCTTCATCTTCCGGGAGTTGTTCATCCTTCAGAACTAGAGCAGGTAGGGAATATGAATTGCTTGATTGATAAATTGAATGAAGTGTGCAGCGTGCACCCAAATGATCCTACATTGATGAAACCCAGAAGTTAAGTGACAAATCAATTTCTTAAATATGAACTTTATTGATAGATTGATTGATTGATTGTTTGATTGACTGTTTGATTTATTAATTGATAACCATTTTGGTAGAACGAGAATTCATTAATTGATTTATTGATTGATTGATTGCTATTTAGGAAGAACGAGAGGGTGCTGAAGTTGCTTCTGACGCTACAGACTACTTTACCGAGGATGATCTTGAGATTGGTAAAACTGTTCAGTTTATCAGAGAACAGAGTCAGGAGGCCAACCTAGGACAGGAAGAGGATGTTATTTCATCCATACAAGGTGATATTTATTAAACAGGTTTCTCCCAGGTCAGATTTTATCCCTAGATAGAAAAATATTCTCCTTTTTGGTAGATTTTCCCTCTTATAGGTAGGTTTCCTACCTTATTGGTAGATTTTCCCCATAATTGGTAGATTTCCTCAATAATTGGTAGATTTCCCCATAATTGGTAGATTTCCCCTATAATTGGTAGATTTCCACCATAATTGGTAGATTTCCCCCATAATTGTTAGATTTCCCCCATAATTGTTAGATTTCCCTCATAATTGGTAGATTTCCCCCATAATTGGTTGATAATTCCAATTTGTTATCGAAATGTCGTGTAGCTTGACTCAAATTAGTTCTGGTAGGAAATTACATAACCGGAATCAAACTTAGATTTGTAAACATGAATTTCTCAAGATTGGTTAGTTCGACAGTGCTCTAAGCTTGAAATGAAGAAGATCCCTCCACTACCCCAGAAATATTTTGTTCTCCTGTGGAAAACCCTGTATGCACTCTTCATGGAACCTGATCTTAGTGCACCTTCTACAGAGGAACAGCAGGTAGGTCAGGGGGAACAGGTCAACTTGATTTTCAAACAATGAATTGATATTTCTATTAGTAACTGTCTTCGTTGGCTGATGTGTTGATTGACAGATTGACCATTTGATTGTTTAAATGGTTGGTTGGTTAGTTTGTANGGGGGTGGATTTGGTTGATTTGCTGGCTGATTGACTGATTGGTTGGTTAATTGATTAAATGATTGATTGATTGATTAGAAGCTGTACCACTCTGTGTCTGTTGTTGGAACCCTCCTTCTTCAGATCGGCGAGGTCGGAGAGAGATTGGACCGGAAATCAGCTGAAAGGAAACTGGTGATTTTTTGCAAATTAGAATTTTTTTTTAAAACTCCTTTGGAGGGAAAAAAAATCTGACAGTCTTGGCTGTTGAAAGATTTTAAGACTAAGATTTTCTTTAAATAATGAAGAAACTTTTTTATTCTGAACGATTTTTCCCTAATCAATTTATAATTATTTGATTTTAGTTATTGGAGTCTGAACCCCATATCACCGAAGGAACACCTGAACTTGCTGAAGATGCCTCTGGAGAAGCAGCAACAGTTAAGGAATCTGGAGCAGCATCTTCGCCAGCTACTTCATCCGAAGCTGTTGACGAGAACAAGAACAGTGCAGGAGCAGTGTGGAATATTAGCTTTGAGCAGTTTCTGGCGAGTATTCTCACCGAGTCTGTTCTTGTGGATCATTTCTCAAAAGGGGTCGATATACAGGTAGAATGTAGTTCAAGGGTCGATATACAGGTAGAATGTAGTTCAGGGGTCAATATACAGGTAGAATGTAGTTAAGGGGTCGATATACAGGTAGTATGTAGTTCAGGGGTCGATATATAGGTAGAATGTAGTTTAGGGTTCAATATACAGGTAGAATGTAGTTTAGGGGTCGATATACAGGTATATGTAGTTTAGGGGTCGATTATAGGTAGAATGTAGTTTAGGGGTCAATATACAGGTAGAATGTAATTTAGGGGTAGATATACAGGTAGTATGTAGTTCCGGGGTCGATATATAAATAGAATGTAGTTTAGGGGTCGATATACAGGTAGAATGTAGTTTAGGGGTCAATATACAGGTAGAATGTAGTTCAAGGGTCGATATAAAGGTAGAATGTAGTTCAGGGGTCAATATACAGGTAGTATGTAGTTCAGGGGTCGATATATAGGTAGAATGTAGTTTAGGGGTCAATATACAGGTAGAATGTAGTTTAAGGGTCGAAATACAGGTGGAATGTAGTTCAAGGGTCGATATACAGGTAGAATGTAGTTCAGGGTTCAATATACAGGTAGAATGTAGTTCAGGGGTCGATATACAGGTAGTATGTAGTTCAGGGGTCGATATATAGGTAGAATGTAGTTTAGGGGTCGATATATAGGTAGAATGTAGTTCAGGGGTCGAAATATAGGTAGACTTTAGTTCAGGGGTAAATATACAGGTAGAATGTAGTTCAGGGGTCGATATACAGGTAGAATGTAGTTCAGGGGTAAATATAATACAATATACAATTAATGCCAAATTATTAAAGTTTGATTTATATCAAGAAACACTGGCTTAGACCATTTTAGAAAAGTGCAAACCAGTTCAGACCGTCTTTTAGCCCAGTTTTTAACCATATTATCATTTTTTTTTTCGAAATTTTCTGTTTGTTTTGAAATCACAGGAAGTCACAAAATAAACATATTTTCTTCAGATTTTTGGATGGGGTTGTCTTTGCGAAATTTAGGGACATTTTTGTGGGTTAAGTAAAAAAAATTGCCAATTTTTGTTGTCATTATTTTTTATCGGAATAAATAAAATGCTTGTGTTAAGGCTCCTCTGACTGAGTTCAGTTGTCATGGATGGAGGAAGGCCGCCGATCCATTACAGTTGGCCGGTCATCCAGTTGCCAATTCAGTTTTCTATGTTTAGTTTTAGATATTACCAATTATATTTTAGTACATACAATAGATGGCAACATAGAATTTGTACACTCTCAGTACACCTGTATTCTTACATCGCAAGTGTCAACTCTATTTTTGTGTCCGACAAAATAATTAATAATAGTGATAATTTTAGACTTATTTCACAGTGAAATATATGCAATTTTATGTGTTTTTTATTTTCTGTTTTTACATTTTTTTATTAAATCTTGGAAAACATGTCAACTTATGTGAGAAAATTTCGTTTTCTTTGACACTTGTGACGTCGTGTATAATTGGTCCAATTCTCTGTTGCCACCTATTGTACTTGATAATCTATTTGGATATTACCAACTAGAAAAAAATGAAGAAAACTCGGATTTTCGGCTCTTCAACACATAACTTCATGGAACACATTTTTGTAAAAATATTTTTCCAAATAATAATTTATTTTACAAATATTTCAAGACAAATTTGATATTTTGATTTTATTTACAATTAACATTCCAACAGAGAATTCTAGAAATTTTCTCAATACTTTGTATTTACTATTTGATTGTATTTAATATCCAAAAAAAATGAATATTCTCCGCCTGTGATCAAATCTTATAAAACACTGTGATAAAAAGGATCATTTACCCAATCAGTAAGTAATAATCGATTTTAGAAATTTTCATTATATATTTATAATATTCATGAAATCATATTTTCAGATGAAAACTAAAATGGTAGCCTGCCTGTTTGAAGAATAAGATGAAAGTAGGTTTTTGTTTCTATTTTATTTGCAAGTAGTTGATTATCAGATCGGAACTATTTTTGTGAATCTCAGGATCAAGCTTTCATTTCACTCTTATGCAAAACCTACTGATTAGTTTTATTCCTCTTCCATATCCCGTAGTGGTCATACTTTTATTTTCTGATCAAGCATTTTTCTCAAATTATAAGTGCCCTGTGTCACCCACATCGAATATCAAGATCATTTGGGTTTTTCGTACACAATAACCCTGAGTTAGAATCCCAAAGTTCCGCGCAGCCAGCGTTGAATTACAAGACAAAGAAAGAGAATGAGCTGCCTGCGCGGAACTCCTTCGGGCTTCTACCTCAGGGTTATTGTGAACGAAAAAACCCTATATCTTGAAAAGACGGCATCTAGTGAACTATTATTGTTAATTAATGTATGATCAAGATTAACGATACACGACACGAAAGAACTCAGAACGAATTACAATGCAAATGTTCTTAAATCTCTTTGAACAACTTTTACTCTTTTTCAGAATCTGTTTCGAATCTAAGATCAAATGAGACATGCTTATTGTTCTCGCGTATGTTGTGTATTTGTATTTCTCGTAAATTAAATATTGTATAAGATGGGCTAATTAGAAAAGTAATCAAAACATTCCTTAAAATTTTTTGAATTTTATTGAGTAGCTAATTTCACACTTTTGTGATGGTTTGTTTGAGATATTATTCTTTGTTCAGGAATGCGTTCTTCTACCAGATATGGGATATATCTACTCTGGATATTTGCAGTTTTCATACTCGGGATATATGTATTCACCAGGTCTAACCTTTTACCCTACCATTCCTTAAGCCACAATTTAAAGGTTTACTTCTATTCCAAAGAATTTTTACTCCCCACTTACTTGGCTTGTTGATGTTTCAATGACAAATGAGTCTTTTTCTAGCATTTTAAAATTTAAATTTTTTAACTTTGCATATGAATCTAACTTTATCAATATAACTTTATTATTTTTAGTGGATTTCTACTCCAAAGACGAGTTCTTCCTAACGAAACAACTTGCCAGGAACATTTTTAAATAAATCAAAATTAATATTAAACTTACCTTAAACTTAATTTTACTAATCCTGACTTTTTTGCAACCTGCCAGTGTTAACCTTCGATATATATATATATATATTATTATCTTTGCCTTTTTGATCTTGCAGAATTGATAGTTTGATATACAGATGGTCAACGACATCTTGTCGTAAAGTCAGTTGAGGTGTAATAAATACAGAGACCCCATAGTAAATCTAGATAAATTACGTTGTACATTGTCCATATAGCTAAATGTGTTCATTAGTAGATACGTAAATTCTGCATTGCGGTTAACCTAATCTAGATACTTAGATATAAATATAACTGCGTCATACCAATTTCGTGATTGCTTAACTACGTTATATATAACAGCGCATAACTTGAAATTATGCTGTGTAGACCTAATTCTAATCTAACATGAAGAAATATACTCTGTTGATATAGAGACTCCGCTTTGATTGCTGCGGGAGAGTAATAGTGTTCTTGTTCTAAACGAATGAGTTAAAGATCGTGCCCATTGGTTTGGCATTGATAGTTGTCTGCTTGTGTCCGTTTAGACATTGATAGCTGATCGTGCCCATTGGTTTCGAATTGATAGATTGCGAGCTCGTGTCCTGGTTGACATTGATAGCTGATCGTGCCCATTGGTTTGGATTTGATCGATTGCGAGCTCATTTCCTGGTTGACATTGCTAGCTGATCGTGTTCATTGGTTCTGTATTGATCGATTACGTCCTTGTGTCCATATTTACATTGATAGTTGATCGCACCCCTTGGTTTGACATTGATCGATTACGAGCTTGTGTGCTGGTTGACATTGATAGCTGACGAGATTGTGTCCGGGTTTAGCCATTGCTAGCTAAGTTAAACTGAATTGTACCTGGATAGATACGTGTTCGAGAAACCTTTATGGAGTAGAGCATTTACTACAAAAGGAGAGTAATAAGTTCCTTAACCATAACTAGTTCAAAATATCGTGCAAGACTTTGTTATTAATCTATTGCCTTCTTGATTTATTGATTGGTTCCAGGAGCGTGGATGTAATCAACCCCCAACAGTGTTTAAGAAAGCTATTGTGATACTTATAGGTAAATAATGTTCATGATTTTTTAGCCTATTACCACCATGAGTGTTCACAAAAAATTTCAGCCCATTCGATCCAGCCGTTTGGCCGGCTATAGGCAACATATATATACACGCCTTGTTTTATTTTATAGATAAAACTCTTCGCCCATATCTGTAAATATTATTTATATTAAAAATTGCCCTGAAGATTGTTAAAACTAGAAACATTAATAGTTTTGTCAAAAATCAGATTATTGAAAATCGAACAAAAGATTAGAGTATTTTCGTGCTCTTAAATAGTTTCGCTTTTTAGACGCTCTTAAGTATGAGTTCTGTGCTTGGAATTCAACCTGGAGTAGATCCTCTGCTAGCCGTGAACCTGGAGATAAGCTAAACCATCCTTCTCATCATATTAACCAGCTACCAGTCCTGCATAGGCTCTCCAGACCCAGCCCAGACACAGGACAGATACATGGAAAAATTTTCAGGTTAACACATACAGTAGTTTTTCTACTGGTTAAACTATTTGCTTTAAACAACAGTAAATATTTTAAATATTTCTTAAAATATTAAATATAATCTTCCTTTTCCCCAGTTATATGGAACCCGAAGTAGATCATATCCAAATATTTTAGAAAATGAAAGAAAGTTTATTAACCATGATTACCCTGACGCCTTGTTTCATGTCTGGTTCCCTGGGGGGGGNATGCCCCCTCCCTTTTTTTTTCTTATTGTGATACAAATCTATAACATTTGATACGTTTTTGGAAAGCACTTGGGCTCCACTTCAATAATCTGCAAAAATAATAGAAAATTTGCAAAAATCTTAATGTTCAGTGCAAAACCTAGTTATTAAGCAAAAAATGAGTAAAAAATTGCGCAAATTGCATCAAATTATACATTTTTAAAAAGGCCTTGACCCAGCGAATTCAATTGTGCAAAAACATTTGCAAAATATTTAAAACCTAAATGTGTATTCAAGAAAAAAAAGAAAATGTACAAATTCCCTTTAAAGGCGTCTGAGCAAAAATCTGTGCATTTCTTTTCAAAAATTATGCAATCTGGTTGATTTTGTTATATACCTTTTAAAGAGCTATAAAATGTTGAAATCCAATGACTGGAAGTAGGTACAAATAAAGATTCAGTCTGGTATATAGTTAAATAAGGCATTTTAGCAGTATGCCTGAGGACTCAGGCAAAAGGTACAAAAGCCCAGCTTTCTGTCTTAAGTGATAAGCATGTGTTAGTTAGAAAAGTCAGAAAATTTGAGCTTAATTGCTTAAATACTGTTTGAGTTATCGCAAAAAAAAAACGATTTAACCCCCCCCCCCCCCCCCCCCAGGGTAGATAGGGTTAATGTATGTTTGTATGTCATGCCTACATTGATCGTCTTTAGTATTCAGTGTGTGTGTATTTTTTATGTCACAATATTGTTCGTCTTTAGAAGTGAGTAAATGCGTATGTTTGTATGTTACACATTTTGATCGTCCTTACCAGTCTGGGTGTGCGTATGTTTGTATTGTATGTCACACTTTTGGTCCTCACTAGTCAATGTGTGCGTTTGTTTGCATGTCATACTCTTGAACTTCTTCACTAGTAAATGTGTGCGTATGTTTGCATGTCATACTCTTGAATTTCCTCACTAGTAAATGTGTGCGTATGTTTGTATGTCATACTCTTCAACTTCCTCACTAGTCAATGTGAGCGTATGTTTGAATGTCATACTCTTCAACTTCCTCACTAGTAAATGTGTGCGTAAGTTAATATGTTTATATTCGTCCTCAGAAGGGGATAGTGTGTCAGTATTATTGCTTAATAGTAACATATAAATAGAACTCATGGGAAAATTTAGACTGTAGATTGTAGACTGTAGACTGTAGACTGTAGACTGGTGACTGGTAGACTGTAGACTGTAGACTGTAGACTGTAGACTGTAGACTGTAGACTGCTGACTGCAGACTGTAGACTAGACTGCAGACTGCAGACTGCAGACTGCAGACTGTAGACTGTAGACTGTAGACTGTAGACTGTAGACTGTAGACTGTAGACTGTAGACTGTAGACTGTAGACTGTAGATTGCAGACTGTAGATTGCAGAGTAGATTGCAGACCGTAGACTGATAATAAAGACAAATCTGTCACAAACATACATCGAAGTTTGTCACAATAAGATTAATTAAAACTAAAACATTCAGGTTTATGGCTGATCCCCCAACTACCACCATGCAACGACTGAAAGGTTTTAATTTACATATAATGATATGTTTTAAATTATTTTTAACAAAGTGACATTGTTCTAGATTTACTTAATTTAGGTTTGACTACTGGAAGTTTGCCAACGTTTATTGATGCCTCGAGTAACTTTGCCTCTTATCAAATTCAGGAGGACAGTTGGTTAAACCAACTTACAAGACATAATAAGTCCATTCATTTCGCAGGTAAACCCACCGTTCAGTGCAGGAAATTTGTTTTTCCATTGTTTCTGTGGCAGAAATGCGCAACTCACCTTTTTGGAGCAACCGCAATTGAGAAAAGTCAACATTTTTCATTGTTAAGAGCATGGATATCTGATCCATTCTTAAACTTTACTGTACCGTTTTCAAGAATTGTGTAAATGGAAAAGTCACCTGTAAGATACACTAAAATGTTTTCAGGGCTAGGAATTCTAGTACTGGGGATCTAGAGATCTGATCTCGATCTCGATCTTTTGAATCTGCAGATTATTAATTTAAACTTCATTCGATATCCTGCATGGAAATCGTACCCGGGAGTAATAGCCGAACTTTTTTTTCATATTTAATTTGTTTCAGGGGATGATACTTGGCTAAGTCTCTACCCGGACACTTTCAAGGTTAGCAGCTTACTATCCAATTTAATGTATATTTTTTGGGGGGGATTTTTGTATCCAATAACTGTTCTACAGCTAAATGGGACTTCATAATCTCATCATTCCATGGGATATGGAAACCATGTAATGTCATTTGTTTTTCATAGATAACGTATACAAAGCAAATATTAAGTTTACTTTATCTTTAGTTTGTTTGTAGCCTTTGCAACATAGATTTATAACTACAAATTTGCACTTTTGTGCATATCCACTTAAATGAAAACGACATTTCCAATTATTTGAGGAAGACGATATTTCCACGTGTACGAGGAACATCGCTTCCATTTATACGAGTTAAACGATATTTCCATTCATATGAGGAAAACGATATATCCATTTATATCATGAAGACGATATTTCTACTTACATGATGAAGAATTTTTTAAGTTACATGGTGAAGACGATATTTAATTTGCATTGGGAAGACGAAATTAGTTGTCTACAGTCTAACTATTTTAGAAATCTGTTCCTCTGCCCTCCTTTGATGTCTGGGATCTTGATACTGTTGACACTCAAGTAACAAAGTAAGAAAATAAAATGAATGTAAAAATTTGTCTTCTTGCTATTTTTTTTCTTTTGCTTGAAATGCCAATCTCTGTAAAAGATGTTTGATTTCTCAGGAACTTCTTAAAGCCTAAACACAGTTAATATTATGTTATCAAAACTCAAAACTGAAAGCATAGTTTTAAATGCACCTTCATGCAAAGATAGTAAAGCCCGGTACCTTTAAAAGCTTTGTCTGATTCAAGTATGAATTTAAAATTAAGGTTTAGAATTTAAAATTAAACACTTTTCCAACTAGGAAATGACAAAATCAGTAGTCAGATAAAGGTTTCAAGGGTACCGTTGTAAATCGGGCATTGACATCTTTGCATGGAGGGACACCTGAGATTAAGCTTACAGTCCCTTTAAGTTTAATTTGACCATGATTCTGCAGGTTCTTGTATTCCGAACTGGGGATGGATTGGGATATTCTGCTCGGTCATTATCTTGGAGTTGATCATGCTGGTCATAAGGTAAATATTTATATAGGGGTCGGTGTTTATATCAATACAATGATGACAACTTAATATTTTGATTTCCAAGAAGCTTTTTCAAATGACAAGTTTAAAAGTTAACAAAGAGAAGTTGTTAATTGACAGCTTCTCTTTGTTTCCATTTTTAAGTGTATCCATGCTGCTTGAAAGCTGGGAAGAAAGTCGTATTCATTGTATTAATGAATACAACGACGACTGTAGTATTATAGGTCAAGCTAAAGATTAAAAAATGAAAATGATTAGTTTTGGATTGTTTCGTCTTTTCACTGTTTTCATAATTTTTCAGCTTTAATTTCTAAATATTAGTTGCAGTTTTCCACTGATCAAATGGAATAACATCAGCCATCTCAACCCTAGTAATTTGTTTTTCTGTGCTGTTTTTCAAAATCTATCAATAAAAGATATTAATTAATGGAAGGTGCAGACGAAATTTATTTGAATGTAATGGGATTTTTTAATTGACCATGGAGCCAGCTCTGCAATTGGTTTATTTATTACTAAAACATCTATTTTTTGAGGTTTTTAAATATTTTCTCCTGCAAGACCTGATTTTGTAGAGTAAACCTTCATAATAATTTTTAGCTTATTAAACTTTCATTAAAAATAAAAGCCATTTACAACAAAAAAAATCAAATTCCATTGTTAAATTTATTCAAAACATGGCTTAACAGTGACAACTGTAATGTAGTGGTTTTTAAAAGCATGTACATTTTATTGCTTTAAAAACAACGCTTGAAGTAAATAATATTTATGTGATTCATTATATTAGACTAATAACTACACTCACAACTTTAAATTTAAAGGTGAACAATATTTCACAACGTTTGCGGAATCAAATATGTCTTGCAATGCTGGGAACTTTTCTGTTGGATGCTCATAATCCCTATCCCTTGATCTTGATATCCATTTTATCTCAATTTCCACTTGAGGATGAATGCTTAATCTCTTTTATTAAGTTGTATCTCCTTTCAACCCCTTATCAAAGCTCCCTTCAACCCCTGACTTGGTATGATTGTCATGCATGATATCAAATAAAGATTAAATCAATCTGCAGATTAACAAAAGATCAAGATCAAGCATTGATCTCAATATCCACAATGCAAGGGTTCTCATCTCTAATCTTGCAAAGTTGGATGAATTCTTTTTTTCTTCAGAGGATTTGTAACCTTCAGTGATGACGTCAGGACAAACTTTTTAACTTGTAGGAAGAAGTATTCTTTGATGTTATTTTGACAAGCCAAGTTTATATTTATTCCCAAGAGTATAAAGGAAGACAACATTACTCCAAAAGGAAAGTCTTGAGTTTGTTTTTGAGTGAATGCAAACAAAATCAAGGCTATGCTTCCAATAACAGAAGCAGTAATTAGAGCTTTGAAATTAAACATGCTTTTTGAAGGTCCTCCAGATTCAGCATTGACGGTTGCTAGACTGTGATTTTTCCTTAGGTAGTACTTGATGTAGTAGTAGGATAGAATAATGATAGCTAAGCATAGTATAGTGTGAACGCAGTGAGCTATGGAGTAATTGTTGAAAGCCAGGGTTGCATTTTGTCCAGTAAGAAATGCATTTAATGGTGAGATATAACCTAATGGTATAAAATTATCACTTCGACTAATTTTGGCATGAAGACTGAACGTGTTATGTAAAGCTGGTGTAAACTGTTTTTTAAGCTTTGTGGTAAAAAAATAACTTAATTTAACTGAAAGATTTAGAACAGACAATCAAGAGATAATTGTACATTTTTTTGAGTCCCTCTTACATTTTAAGATTAAATTTATAAATAACCTGATGAGAGCTGGGTTGGGAAAAGTCCCAACTGAACAGAGAAAGTGTAAATCAAGGTGAATCCTAATATCTTCCAAGAAGTAGTGACAGGATCCAGACTAACCATTAGGTCAAACTAGGAAAGTACAATAGTTTTTCTGTTCTAATTAACAGGAAAAGTTAAACAATTGGATTATTGGGGATTACTGCCTTATTCTTACCTTAACAACAAAGAGTAGCCGAAGAACTGCTGTCGAGTACACCAGTCCGCATAAAATGAATCCAGAGTAGTCGATGAGAAAAGTCACTGCCAATCCAACATTTAATGGCATACAACAGAAAAGAGATGAGAACATAACTGCACCATTCTGTAATAATACATGGCTATCAGTTAGTTCAAATGGTTGTTGGCAAAAAAAAGTCCACAAATGATTACAAATTTTTTAAAATGGCACGAGCAATGAGCGTGGTAACTTTTCCCATTTCATATACATACTTTGAGTAATTCCTGCAAATTTTAGATCGACACCTCATAAATTCTTGGAGATAATTGCAACCAAAGTTTTAAAAAGTGCTAAGGAAGTTAAAACAAATCGTGAAATCATGATGTTTATATCAAATTTTTGAAAAATATGAATGAAAAATAAATGAGTTAGGTTAAAAAAACCTTCTAAGATGCTTGTTTTTAAGAAAAGTGCATTTTTAGCGTTTTTATTTTACTCAGTCAATTTTTTTAATTTTTAAAAAAGTTCTACAGATTTTATCTATCTAGACAATTACCAAGAAAATGATATGCAACATTATAAATTCACGAAAAAAAATATTTTGGAGCTGTGTAGGTCTTTTTTTAATGTTAGCAGCGATTATATCTTAGAGTTTTAGAGATATTGGGCCAAAAATTTAGATTAGTTCTCAAGGTACATATTAGAATTTGGGAAAAGCTACCACCTGCACATCTGTTTTCAAAAGTTGGTCATGTGTCACCTTAGTTTGATTGCCATTTTAGGTACTTATGTATACAAGTTAAAATCAAGATGGAAACAAAGAAATCCAAGAAGATAAAATTGGAAATAAAAGGATTCAAATCGGAAAAGATAGTACACGGTTTAAAAAATACAATTTTGCTATTTGGTTTTTGTGAGAGATAAAGAATGTTGGCATTCCTCAGATAGTTCGAAGACAAAGTCAGACATAGACTGAAAGATGAAGCTGTAAATGTATAATCCTTCCATTGCAATGAACAATTATTGCTGACATACTACTATCAGTTTAAATTCTAAATTGAAAATTAGACTTCTATAAATTTGACATTAAACAAAAGAATTTTCACTGTAAAAATTTCCATTTTCTAAATTTTTTAACCCACCCTTGAATTTAAAGGAAGAAAAGTCTCATTTCCAAGAATTATTATCTTTAAGATTAAAAGTCACTACCTGAAAAGTCAGTATGAAGTTCATGAGTTCCACAATGTAGTAGTTCATGATAAATATCATGTTGATCTTGACTTGTGGAACTGCCAGCTTGTAGATTCTAACCATGTGTGTGAAGAAGTTGCTAAGTAAGGCAATGAGGAATCCAAATGAAAAGATGATTAGATTTTGAGTAAATGTTTTAGCTCTTCCTACTTTTTGTTTGTTTCCTTTTGATATGTCTTGAGTTTTGGAAATATCAGTATAATTAATATCTTCTTCACCCTTATCTAGATTTGCTTCATGCTTGTCTAGATTTAATTTACCATTTTCTAGATCTTGATCCTTCTCTAATTCTTCTTGATCAAGGCCTAGATCTTCTTCACCCTTGTCTAGATCTTCTTCACCCTTGTCTAGATCTTCTTCACCCTTGTCTTGATCACCCTTTGCTTCAGTAATATTCAGCAGAATCTTTGTTTGATCAATTTGATCATGGTGAATCATTTCTTTTTGGATATCTCTTGTACCATTCTCTTGACCAAATGTCCAAATGATATGAGACAGAACCAAGAGTAAAAGAATGATGTTCATACCTACTCAGTTGGTTTCATTCTATTTTATGCGGAGAGTATTCCTCAGCTTTTATAACTACAAGGGAGGAGGAGGATTCAATTCAATTCATATTATGCTCTGCATCTTGATTAAATATTTATATTTGGAATAGAATATCTCTATTCTGTTATAAATATTGTTAAAGAAAATTTAATTTATGTTGAGAAGAAAAATTATCACCTAAAAAATAAGAAAAAATAAGTCTATTGGTTTTCAAATTTATTATTTTAGTTTGGCCCGAATCATCCTGAAATGAGAAGAAAGCTTAGAGAGATGAACGCCGTCATAGAACATGTTGTTGACAATCTACCTGAAGGTAAACACGTGGCATAGTCCTCAAAAAACATCTTAAAGATTATGTCAGAGAAATTTAGCAGATTCAAGAAAGGGTGGCTATCTGTAATATGATGGTAACAAATTTGAAATTGAAAAGGGAACTTCATAAAGTAATGCCTTTCTCCCTACCAGTGGTTAGGATCCATTTCATTTTGATGCGAATCCAGATCCTGAATCTGCCCAGTAAAAAATAGATCCGGATCCAGATTCAAGTCATAAACATTTCTTTAAGATCATTTTTTTGCCTTTTTTATGCTAAAACTAGATGAATCATTTGAAATTTTAAACGATCTCTCTTTTTTTTAACAGTTCAGATTTGGATTTTGATAGCAAAATTTTGTTTATTGTTGGGTAATATTTTTCCACTTGGATCTGGATCCGTGGATCTGTATATTTTTGCAGATCCATCAGATCCTAAGCACTGCTCCCTTCTGCCCTACCTATAATAGCTTTACTTGACTGTTTGTTGTTTTCCTAGACACTGTTCTAGTAGTGCTAGGGGATCATGGTATGACGAACAGCGGGGACCATGGAGGAGACTCACTCCCAGGTACAGGCTGGTCCTTCTCTCCTGTTCTATCTTAATCGTAAATATCAATCAGTCAACCCCTTTTTTTAAAAATTTTGATTCAATGTCCTTGAATCAAGTTAAACTGGGATCTTTTAACCCAAAACCTTGAATTTTTTATTTCATATCTGTGATCTTTTACCTTTTTTCCAAAATCCTTGAACTTTGAATTCAGATCTGTAATCTCTTATTGATCCTAAATCCTTTAATCCTTGACTTTGATTTTAGATCTGTAATCTCTTAAGATTGATTCTAAATCATTTAATCCATGAACTTTGATTTCAGATAAAATATCTGAATTCTGTAATCTTTCATCTTTGGATCTAAATCCTTCAATCCTTGAACTTTGATTTCAGATATTTAATTACCCTTGATCCTAAGTCCTTTAATCCTTGAACTTTGATTTCAGATAATTAATTACCCTTGATCCTAAGTCCTTTAATCCTTGAACTATGATTTTAGATCTTTAATCCCTTATCCTTGATCCTAAATCCTTCAATCCTTAAAGTTTGATATTAGATCTGTGATCACTTATCCTTGATCCTAAATCCTTCAATCCTTAAAGTTTGAAATTTGATCTTTGATCTCTTATCATTGATTTTAAATCCTATAATTACGATTCTTGGTCTTTTATTTATTATCTTTGATCCTTAATCTTTGACACTTAATCCTTTGGACATTCATACTTGATCTTTTGATCCCTGATCATTGTTCTTTTATCCTTGATCCTTTTTATCATATTGTCAAAATTATTTTTTATTGATATTAAAACGTATGAAAAAGCTTGAATCCTAATCTCTAAATAATTCTAGAGATTGAAGCTGGATTGTTTGTGTACGGACTAAAGTTAGGATTTGATTTAAAAGCTGAAGCATCCACTGTTTCTCAGATAGATCTTGTTCCAACTCTATCTCTTCTTCTAGGTAAACTTTACACTCATCACTTCAATCTTCTGCTACGACTTTATGATCTCGCAGTTCCTAGTTTTCATTATGCGCGGCCCCAAAGAAAAACAAGTTTATAATTACTTATTATAAACTGATTTGTTCTTCTTAAAAGCTTGTAGTTTTGAATGAAAATACAAACTTTCAACTCTAACGAATTAATTCACTGCATGCAATTTGACCCGACCAGGCTTACAATACAAAACCACATAATTTGTATATGTGAACCTTCAGTCTAAAAGTCTCTCCTTAAAATTAAAATAATCTCCTGTAATTTGTCAACTCAGTGTTGATAACTGTTAAAATGATGTGTTTATTTCTACCAGAAATGATTATGAACTGCATGAGTTTTTTACCATTGTTTTGGAAATAAAGTTTCAGAGAAAACTGTTGTAATTCGTCGAAGAAACTCTTAAATAAAAAATCGGAGCCGACGGAGGTCACTTTTCAGAGGTTCCAAGTCTCCGGAAAGAGATTTCGACAATCGGACTTCATATCCAGCTCCTAGGCAATTATATGAGTCTACATTCAAAAATACAACCGGCTGCTATTAATATTTATAGAGATAATACAAAATGTCTTACTTGTTACGGGTTCTTTAGCATTACTTATCGGTTGTCAAAAAAAAATATTATTAATGCTTGACTTATTCCTGTCAAATCAGTTTTGGATAAAAAATTTAATTTGATCAGTATCAATGATACTAAAAGTTTACATTTGATTGGCAAAAAAATGTCCATCATCTAAAATCCATAATCGCCTTTTTTTTACATTCTTGATGTATTTCAGGAGTTCCAGTTCCCTTCTCTAACCTTGGTGCTCTTATTGACGAACTCTTAATCCCAACTATGCTAATCAAGGAAGGATTTTATTCTCACAAAGGCTCAAGTTAAATTGGCGGTTTTTTTGTGACATCGTTTTTGTTTAGCTTGATATGAAGTTGTCATATTTAATTTTTCACTTTTATGGGTTCTTGATTTTGATTTATGTTGCTATCAATGTTTGCTTAGATTTTGACTTAAGATAGATTTTAGTATTTGCTTTGATCTTGACTTAAGTAAGATTTTAGAATTTGCTTTGTTCTTGACTTAAGTTGGAGGTTAAGTCATCAATTTGCTTTTATTATGATTTAAGCTAGAGGATAAGTCCTAAATTTGCTTTGATCTTATTCTTGACTTATCCCTATTCACGTTTTTTGTAGATAACTTTTGTCTTAGGCTGTTCAATTTTTTTGACTTTTCTAACTAACACATGCCTCTCACTTCAGGCTCAAAGCGGGGCTTTTATACATACTATCTGAGTCCTCAGGCATACTGCCTGTATGCCTTATTTTACCTTTACCCTTTGATCTAGATGTTGAGTTCTTAATTCGCTTTGATCTTGACTTAAGTCAGCTGATACGTCCTCAATTGGCTTTGATCTTGACTTAGGTGTGAGTTAAGCTCTCAATTTTAATCTAACTGACAGCTAGAAGTCAAGTTTTCAATTTTCTTTGATCTCGACTTATTATCAGCTGATAACTCCCCAATTTGCCTTGATCTAGACTTAAGTTATAGGTTAAGTCCTTAATTTGCTTTGATCGTGACTTAATTCCTCTATTTGGTTTGTATTTGAAAATATCTGTGCTCAGGAAAGTGGTTCAGGGTCACATAGTAGGCTGACCAGCTTTTCCCAAGAAGATCTCATCAAATTTAGGGAAATATCATCAACTGCCCCCTTACCATTTATCAAAGTTCACCCCCCATAAAACTAAAATAGAAAAACTCGTGAACAATTTAAATAAATATTTAGTTTTCTCCTCAAAATAAGTTTGTTCTGATCCCGTAACTTCAGTGTGAAGAATCGACAATCTAAAACGATTGATCTTTTCAATTTAGTATAAATGCTAATCCCCAAATTAAATATATTCCTGCAGGGTATGATCACATCAGGATATCGAAGAGAAATTAAATTAATCAGAGGACGAATTTAAAGAAATTGAGCCGTGGCTTAAATTTAAGCCACGGCTTAAATATGGTTGGTAACACTTAAAATTGTATTCAATTTTTCAAGATTTGAGCCGGCGCTCAATTGAAACCGGTTTTTGGCAGATTTAAATTCGGACACAGCTGGTTAGCATAAAATGGGAGACGAATTCTTGATCCTGAGATTCATAACATTCATAAGTTCTAACCTGTTTCCAAAGTAGTTAAAAACCAGTGCTTTTAGGATCCATTTAGTATATATGCTGATTTTGCGTGTTGTTTTCAGGCTGAAACTTAATAAACCATTCAGAGATGAGGAAATTTTTTTCAACAGTTCAATTTTGGGGTTTGAGAGCAAAAGATTTTTGTTTTTGTAAGCACGTTAAAAACGAAATTGGGATATCATAGAGTTGATTAAAACCATGTACATGAATGTTGATATATTGTACAGAATGTCGTACATGAAGGCTAATGTACACCAGGTGTACAAATATCTAACTGCGTACCTCAATGCTGGAGGTAGTTTCCCGGAGAAAGAAAACTATAGAATCAGAAACCTGGCAAGCGAGGTCGGTTTTTTATTATTCATCAAAGATACTCCATATTAAATGGGATCTGACCGATTCACAATGGTACCCTTACAACCTTCATCTGATCAGTAATCTGGAACAGTAGATGTATTTAATTCTAACAATTTTTTCCATTTTTTCTGAAGCAAGAAATATCAGTTTTCAAAAACAAATATGAATATATAATTAAATCTTTAAAACGCGAAACTTTTAAGGGCATCGATGTCAATCTGACATGCCACTCTAGAAAAGGAGGATTATTTGAAACTACGTGTTCAGTCTGTTAAAACTCATTTGTTTCCCCAAAAAGTGGAACAGAAGCAATAAAGAATAGAGAGAGGGTTAGGGTACCGTTGTAAATCGGGCATTGTCACCTTTGTATAGAGATTCACGTGAAAATACGCTTTCAGTCCTTCTAATATGCAAATTGTAAATATAAATATAAATAATCACGAAAATATGTTCAATTTGGAATATTGTCTAAAAATGTAAAATATTCCAAGAAAGGTATTCTATTAATACCGAAGAAATCAATCGAGCGCGGCGGCCCTATTTTAAATTGATAAAAATCATTTTAAAATTTTTTTGGTAATGTTTGCAATGGTTTATAACCATGCAAGTATTTTAATATATACTGCAGAGTATATACACTTTTAATGTTGTCAAAAATTAGTTCATTTTATTATTAACTTACTGTTGGATGTTGACTTGAATATCAGAATTTAGCAAAGAATCCTGCCCACGTGACCCTAAAGTTAATTTTATTTATGTTTCAAATTTTTTCTTAAACACAAGGTCGCAAAGTTTTTCCAGTAATTCCATGAAATTCTTCCTTATATACAGATTATACAAAATAGATTATGAAGTACAATGTGTGGCAACATGACGTCACAAGTGTCAAATATAGCAAGAAAATCAAAATTTGTTCACATTAGTTAACATGTTTTCGAAAATTAAATAAAAAAGTGTAAAAACAGAAAATAAAGAACAAATAAAATTGCATTTATTTCTCTGAAAGATTAACACTTTGTTCTAAAATTATCACTATTATTAAAAATGTTGTTGTACACAAAAACTGAATTGACACCTGTACTGTACTGTACTGAGAGTGTACAAATTCTACTTTGCCATCTATTGTACTAGAAGAAATTTGGATTATACCAATTGCAGTGCACCATTTGTCAGATTTTGGCAAATTGTTTTTTCCTCAACTTTCTTCAAACCTGAACCTGAAAACTGGGGAAAAGTAAAATTCATGAATTATAATTACTTTATTTATAAAGTTGTAATCTTTGTTAGTCTGTTGCTTTGTTTGTATTTCCCATCATAACTCAGGAACCCCTTGACCGATTTGCCTTACATTTTTGATTAGGAAACTTGGGAGAACCACGGGAATGTTCTTAGCTTGAGATTCTAAGTTTAGTGGGTTAACTTTTTAGGAAAAAATAGTTGAATCGTAATGTACAACCTAGCGCGGGTAAATAGTGGGATTAACTATAAGTCCCTTGGCAACGCTGGGTTCTTCAGCTAGTTATTTATAAAGGTGATAAACCGACCTGGAGCCCTATCCCCAACGGAAGCTAGAGAACTATATATCAAGTGTAAAGAATTCCTACAAGCAGCTAAACATATGTGTCAGGCAGTTTGGGTCAATTTTAACGAACAGGTATTATTATTATTATTATTATTATTATTCTTATTATTATTATTATTATTATTTTATCATTATCATTATCATTATCATTATCATTATTATTCTTATTATTCTTACTCTTCTTATTGTTCTTATTATTCTTATTCTTATTATTCTTATTATTCTTATTATTCTTATTCTTATTAATTATTTTTATTCATCTTATTATTCACTATTTCACAAATAAAAAGTTTTTAAGAGTTTATAGGGAGTGACCGGCTATGTAAGGTAGTTGAACTGAGAAAGTAGTATTTTGCAGGTTTGTAGATTGTTGAATGTTGATGACTTTATAAACATAAATCTATACACTATTAATGTTTCCTAGCTCTGTTGAAGGGTGAGGAAAGTAAAAGGAACACTGCACCAAGCATTGAATTTTGAAAACCTGAAGGACCCAATGTCAGAATCTCCACTTACAAATAATGACAAATGTGATAAAAGGAGTTTTGGCTAGGAGTAGATTATCAACAGTTGGATCTTGTTTTCCTCATCAATTTTCCTTCATACTTTAAGTTTCTTATGTGTATACGTTTAACTTGGATTTGCCATTTTTGTCTGTCTTCCTGTACTCCTATTTACTGTTAGAAGCGCCTCTGCAAACACCTCTAGGCCCTGCTATGAGGAAAGCTGGAGTTGATCTGATTATAACGATTCATAATTACTGAGTTTAAGCGCAAACTTGACGTTCAAAATCATCCATTTTTGTGGTTACGTTTTGGGAATCGGTTAAAAAAAAATTCAATAACGACGACGAAAAATGTAACAATAATTCTTCAGTTAACGACTGATTTGTCAAGAAATAGATTGAGAAAATAAAAATTAACTTTTGCCATCATAAATAAATAATGGTATTTTTAATGTTTCATTGTTCAAACAAATTTTCTGCAGATTTCCTGGAATCTTTTTTAAAGACGACATTTGAAGAAATATGCGATCAAATTTGTAAAGAATTAGAAATTCAGTATAAAGAGAAAAAAGAAATGAATGATTTTAACATTGATTTATTGACAAATTTATAATGAGAAATATATTTCTCAACATTTAATTAGTTTAATGTAGAAGTTTTGTTAAATTTCTGTCGTCATTATGACTAATTTGAAAAAACCGATTCTCAAAATCATCTCTTCAAAATGAACAATCTATGATGATTTTAAAAATTGAATTTTCCCTCTCGCTAAACAAATATGCACCGTAAAAACATCTTGTAAGTCTCAAAGGAATTAAGAATTTCTCCACAATACTGCATTCTCAGTTCAACTACCATACATTGCCGGTCACTCCCTTTAACCTATACTTGTTTGCAGGCAATAACCATTGGTTTAACCATTGTTGTTCTTCATTTATCTATTCTGTCGATACTGGTTTGCAAACCTCAATCCAGACTCATCTCAACACTGATATCAGGCAAGTCTAACATTTTTCCTGTTTTTGTACTGTAAATTTCTGCTTGTAAACTCTTCAGTGAGGTTTGTCCTTCCTAAACCCTGAAAGGGTGCCATAGTTGATTCTCAATAGATCAAACGGAAGTGGAGCCCTCATTTTCCTAACCCACATCAGACTAATCAGACCGGTTCTTATCATAAAGGTTAGCGTTGTGAATTGTTGATGGCACTTGATAATGTGGGGTCCCTTATGCTTATTCTCTACAGGTTTGTGTCTCATGCACGAATTTGAAATAATTTTATTTTAGGATTTCTTTTGATATGCATCGGTGCCTCAATTCTTCTTGGTTCATTTTTCGGGGTCACGTTGGCTGTTTTAGCAGGTAAATGAATATCTAGTCAATAATGCTTACATTTAAACTATGAGCCAAGACCCTACATGCTGAAGAAGAAAACAATTTAGATAATTTATTATATTCCGTTTTTTAATTGTATATTTATATTTCAGTTGGATAATTTAGTCTGACATCTATGTATTTATGTATAGATTGGATTTCTGGTATGGATGAAAGTCTACCAACTATGTATTTATGTATAGATTGGATTACTGGTATGGATGAAAGTCTACCAACTATGTATTTATGTATAGGTTTGATTATTGGTATGGATGAAAGTCTACCAACTATGTATTTATGTATAGATTGGATTAATGCTATGGATGAAAGTCTACCAACTATGGACCTACTTCTGATTTACTCCTTGTCGTTCTTCACCCTCCTCACGAACGGGATGTGGCTCCTCTGGAAAGTTAGGTATTAAATTATGAAATTTTAAAACATTATTTTTTACTACTTTAGACCCATAAACACTGAAGTTAATGTTGACTGCCTGAAAAGGGAAACAACTGAGTACTTGCCTAAAATTCTAATTTTTGAACGCTTGTATTTTTGCCACCTGATGAACGATCCATAGTGTAAAACATATTTAAATATATGTTCGCTTGAGATGGGCAAACGGCTTGACCAAATTGATTTGATTTGAAAATCATGATTTAAGATTAAAAGCGGGGAAACGTCAGGCCCTCCAACTAGTTTTTAATAATTCAAACTGAATATTTGATCAGAATTTAATGTCTCTCATGTTGCCACAGTTTAAAGATTAAATGTAGAGTTTGGGTTGAGTTATCAGATTGTTTTTCCAAATGTATATCATCGGAGAGTAATAATGAAATTTAAAAATAATTCCAGATCACTCCCCCAGATGGAATTATTAAACCTCTCAAAAGTTCCCAGCGCTGATTTATGCAATCTTTAAAACTTTTTATTTTCTATCTTTTTCACGTGATAAACTGATTTAGCTTTTGTATGAAAGAGATGGTTCTGTAGTTGAAGTCTGGACATAATATTCAATATGTATTAAGATATTGTATGAAAGAGATGGTTCTGGAGTTGAAGTCTGGACATAATATTCAATATGTATGTTCAGCAGGCATTTATCTACTTATATCTTTCTCAGGTTATTTTTTTAAGGGACTGGTCACAGTTTTAAAGAACCCTTCAATTCAAATTTTTAACCATTTTAATAGTATTTTGATGGGATACAAAAAATGTTTTTTTCTTGCTTAACAATAATTCTCTTTTATAGCCCTGGTTTTAAAGCGCTTCTCTCAACCTCGAAGTTTTTGGCAAAATCCTGGTCTAATTTTCCGCCTGAATTGTGATATTTGATTAGAATTTAAATATGATGCCTTTTTCTGATTGTTTTTGTAGCAATGCAGATAATTGTTGTAATCTTATTTATGTACAGTACAGTATTGGAACTAATATCCCCCGTATTCATGTACAGTCACTTAATTAATAAATATATTTCATTTTTTTTAGAATATTCAGTATTTTGCCATTTTTTATTAATATATGGTGTAGTTTTGTTCTACTCGTCTTGGAATTAAAGATATATACTTTCGTAAAATATAACTTTGCATATTTGGCACATTTCTAGCAGTGTCAGAAATGGGCCAAGTGTTGGTATTAGAACTAATGTCCCCTGTATTCATGTACAGTACAGTTTTGGAACTAATGTCCCATGTATTCATGTACAGTACAGTTTTGGAACTAATGTCCCATGTATTCATGTACAGTACAGTTTTGGAACTAATGTCCTATGTATTCATGTACAGTACAGTCCCTTAATTAATAAATATATTTCAGTATTCTCGAACTCCTTTGTTGTCAACGAATCCTCAGTCCTAGGATTCTGTTTTGTATCTACTCTCTTTCTTTACCTCATACTACACACTAGGGAGGAAATTATCTAAATTTAAAATTGTCAAAATGGGTGGGAAGGCAGATTCACCCTGATGACTGCCGAACCGTAAATGACGTCATGGAAATAATTCCTGGTATGTTGCCCAGTCCTTCGCTAAGTGATTCAAAACGATATGCTGGGAATTAGATTCTTAGACTTCATTTGCGGCTGAGAAGCCATAGGATTCGGTTGTCTTTCCCGATCATTTATGAACGCCACAATTGTTTTGTCAAAAAGAATTTTAATATACTAGATCTATTTAAATTATGAACATGTTCTTTTTGTTTACATTTTAAACAAAGAAGAAAAAAATTCGCGGATTTTCAAGAATTTAAATTTTTTTTTACAAAATTAAAAACCTTTGAAACACATTTTTTTAAATTTTAATCATTCATAAACCTTCCCGGTGGTCACGTGATGTCCCACAAAAATTTGGGCCCGATCGGTTCAGCCGTTTTGACGTTTATTGGATACAAACAAACAGACAGACACCCAGACAAACAAACAGACAGACAAGCCAAATTTATTTATAGATATGAAGAAGAAAAATATCCAAGCTTTTAAATGGATAAAACGTGATTAATGATTCAACTGTAATTTAATCTGCTTATCCTAAAGTCTGAGCTTGACAATTTATTTAACATAAATCACCTTGAAAGTTTCCTGTATTTGCAATTAAGTCTTAAGAATTTTTTATATTCATTATAATGACATTAATTTAAATTGGTGGACAATCCCAATTTACTACAGGATAACCCACAAGATATGAGACTCCAGAGACGACTGTACGGAATTCATGCTGTCCTTTTTTCTTATGTTCATGATTTCCCACAACTGTAAACTTGGTTCTTTCTTTATAAAATAATTAAATAAGTCATTAAAAGACAACTTAATTAAATCTAGGGATCATTATACAGAGCTTTAAAGCCAAACATAGTACTCGAAAAACCTAACATTTTCTGCTAACAAAATTATTTTTATATTAGCCTTATTAAATTTTTCGAAATGATTCATTTTTCCTAAATTTTCTGATTAGTCCTGAAAATAGTAATTTAGAGCCATTGACAATCTTATATGATGTGGGACACCCTGTTTATTTAAGAAGTTATAGGTCGTCTTTACATTTCCGATCAATTGATAACTAATAGATCGAGGTTATGTAGCACAAAAATTGAAGTCCTGACAGTTTGAACTATATGTAGTGTTATTAGTCTAAAAAGAGTTTTTTTTGGGACACCCTGTACAAAAAAAAAACATTGTTATTCCCTGAACTAGATCTATTTCCTCGGAGCAGGAAATCTGTCCCTGTGAGCCTGTTGATCCTGGGCAGCGTGGGTTTGACCCGGTTATCCTTCTTGTACGTGAGATGCAGGGAGGAGGACGGTCCAGACTGTGTACTCACACAATACCACAAGGAACCATTACTTTGACACTTAACGAGTCAAAACTGCAAACTTAAACCACAAAGGGATGACTTTAATAAACCACAAAGGGATGACTTAAATAAACCACAAAGGGATGACTTTAATAAACCACAAAGGGATGACTTTAATAAACCACAAAGGGATGACTTAAATAAACCACAAAGGAATGACTTAAATAAAGGGACTTTATGGCGTTATTTCAAGTGACCTCTACTTGTAAAGATGACTTTGCTCGATTTATAACGGTACTCTTGATAAGAGCTTTGTCTGATCAAGTATATATTATGTATCACGTTTTTGTTTTTTTAACCGTTTCTTTTCAGTTGCGGCTCATCTGCGAAAGTGACTTGCACATTTCAAGTAGCAAAGGAGAAGCTCACAGAATTAAACACTTTTAGAGTCAGAAAAACAACGGTATCTATCACAATTTTGATCAAGTGTACCGTTGTAAATTGTGCGTTGCCATCTTTGATTGGACGGTCACTTGATTTTACGCTTACAGTCCCTTTAATTAATAATGAGAGAAGTAGTTAAACTGGTGCCTCATTGCGCGTTATTGTGCCACTTTTCTTATCTCATGTTAGTCATTAAATCTGACCTCTGAACTTTGCCATCGAGAGAAGACTGAAATCTTGGATATTTAGAACAAACTTAAAAAGTTATCAATATTATAAGTTTCTGTATATTAATACCAATTGTTAAACGAGCCTGTTGTAAACCACATTTGTAGCATTAACATTTTTTCTTGTTTGCCTTCCCTCCCTCTCCTGAAAATATCTTAAATTTCAGTTTTCCTTTAATAGGGCTGCGCCTTAAGTAAATGGTTTTGCCAGCCTCTGAGTACCCTGGACAATGAGAGTGGTTTCTACCGGAACTGGAGATACTTCTTCACCCTTCTCTCCCTCTTCCTACTCTGCCTGTCTGTCCACCTGGGGTTATCCTCAGCCGGAAATTTGAACGGGATCTCCTGTTCCGTTCTCACAGCCAAGTATTTACCCTGGATAATTGCTGTACTCATGGCCAGCTACTGGGCCCTCCAGGTTGGCAAATATTTTCACCTTTAAAATGACAGACCGGCTATGTAAGGTAATTGAATCGAGTATGCAGTGTTGTGGACAAATTCGGATTCATTTGAGACATATAAAACTTTTTAAAAATCCGTAAATCCTGAGTTTTAGGGTGAAGTCGACGTTTAAAATCGTATTTTTGGGTGGATACGCTTTTAGAATCGGTTTTTTTTAAATACTACAAAACGACGACGAAAATAAACTAAAAATTTTACAGTAATCTAATTAGATGGTTAGGAACATATTTCTCAAAAGAAATTTGTCAATAAATTAATTCTAGAATCAATTATTGCGATTTCATCATTATATTGAATTTCTTATTTGCTATGAATTTATTCGCAGATTTTTTCAAATTCTTCAAATGTCGTTTTTTCAATAATAATTCCAGAAAATCTTTGTGAATAATGACAAACTAGTATAATGAGAAAATAGAAAATAATAATTGAATAAGATTACTTATTTTCGATGATAAAATACTTTTTTATTTTCTAAACCTGTTCCCAAACAACTAATTAGTTCACTGAGAATTTTGTTTACATTTTTGTCGTCGTTATTTAATAATTAAAAAAAAACAATTCTGGAAACGTATCCACCAAAATGAACGATTTTGAACGTCGACTTTGCGCTCAAACTCAGGATTTACAGATCTTAAAAAAGTTTGATATGTCTCAAATGAATCCTAAAGAATTTGTCCACAACACTGCATACTCAGTTCAACTACCTTACATAGCCGGTCTGTCCCTTTAAGTCCCCCACACTCCTCTCCCACCTTCCCTTGATCTTGCCCCACAACGACTTCACGGTTCATTCCAGTTCATTTCATGTACCGGGCCGAATTTCAGCTAGCTAGGACGAGCGGGGGAAGGCAGGCGGCCATGAGCCACCACTATTTCCCCTTCCGGGCCACATATTAGCTTTTTTCTCTTCCGGCAGCCATGAGCCACCACTATTTCCCCTTCCGGGCCACCACATTTGACTCTTCCGGGCAAAACTACGTTTTTAAATGGTATATTTAGGGCCTTTAAAGTGTGATTTTTAAAAATCCAGCCGCGTCACGCTATAAATATATATTTAGATCTTTATATTTCAGTGTTAATATGTAATAAGGATGATTCCTCTTAATGTAAACTGTAAAACTTTTTTTT